AATTGCAAGTGGACCATGTGTGGAGGCGTTGGCAGAAAGAGCTTGTCGTGACCTACAACATGCGGAAGAAGTGGCTCCAACAGAAGCCGAATCTGAAGGCAGACGATCTGGTGCTGGTTATGGAAGATGGCATATCTCGTGGTCATTGGCCGCTTGGAAGAGTGGTGGGAGTACATCCGGGTCAGGATGGCCTGGTGAGAGTTGTGGACGTACGGCTGAGCAACAAGAAGGTGAAGCGACGTGCCATTCAGCGATTAGTGCCATTGACTGCAGACGGCGAATGAGAAAGAGACATATTCATTATTGACTCGGTCGGAATACTCTAGTACTGTGGTGCGATTGGTCACTTTCATATGTTTAGTCTTTGCATATTTAGCTACACGTATGTTTCTAGAGCCCATCGTTCATCTTTTGTTCTTTTAGGCTCTGAGGGGGTTGCCTTTTTGGTTTCTTGTTTTGTTTCACCCTCGGAACTCCTCGTGTGAGAGGGGGAGAATGTTGCAGTTAGACTGGTGCAGCATGCTGGCTGTTAGAGTACAATCATTCATGCGTGATATGGATAGGCGGATGTGTTAGAGCTATGATCCATGTGTGCTTCTATTCATGCATTCCCAGCAAGAAGGCCATGTGTCAGGTCTATTCAGTACTCTGGTGTCTAGACGTCTGCATTCTATTGTTGTATCACATTACATGGTCGAGTGTTGCCATAGGGTCTCCATGTATGTGCGTGCACTGTTATCAGCTATTGCTATCTTTTGTTAGGCCAGAGTTGGTTTTAGCCTAGTTGTGGAGATGTTCAGGCTTTAGTTCTTGGAGAGTTGTGACTGTTTTCAGATCATGAGTCAGTGTAAACATTGTGTCCTGGAGATCTTTGTGTGTGGATAATCCCGGTTCCGGGGAGAAACGGAATACCCAGAGATATTGTATATATCACATGCTTTACTGGTCAAAATGTTTGATTGGGGTTTCCAGTTTTTGGAATGGGCTTTTGTTTTTTTCCGTCCTCCCGCGTACCTTTTCGCGAAAAAAAGGACGTTAAACAATGAATTAACAAAGGGTGGCCTAAAGGGTGAGAACTTAAAAACGACTGAAGACGGCACCAAGATCATGACAGCATGCGTGTGTGAACTTTTTAGTGGGGTCCGGGATCAGTAGCAAGGAGGGGAGGAGGAGAAGAGAGAGAGAGAGAGAGAGAGAGAGAGAGAGAGGCCGGAGAGAGAGAGAGAGAGAGAGAGAGAGAGAGAGAGAGAGAGAGAGAGAGAGAGAGAGAGAGAGAGAGAGAGAGAGAGAGAGAGAGAGAGAGAGAGAGAGAGAGAGAGAGAGAGAGAGAGAGAGAGAGAGAGAGAGAGAGAGAGAGAGAGAGAGAGAGAGAGAGAGAGAGAGAGAGAGAGAGAGAGAGAGAGAGAGAGAGAGAGAGGGAGGGAGAGAGAGAGAGAGAGAGAGAGAGCCAAAGGAGGGAAAGAGAGACAGTGTGTGTCTCTGGAGTCTGGTGTGAACTGGAGAGCCATATTTATTTCCGTTGTCGGATTCTGACAAATAGCCATTGCGGATTGCCCCGTGTTACAGTAAGGGTACCATGTACATGTATACATGGACTGGGGTTCCGTAGTTCGTATCAAACGGCCACATTCATTACCCATTTCTTCTGCAACTCTCCCGGCGGTGACAAAGCGACACTGCTTCCGTGCCAGGCCTGGCTAGCAACGTTTAAACATCAGGGCCGGCCAGTACCTGCAGCCAGTCCACGTCATAGCCAGTCCCTGCAGCCAATCCACATCAGGACCAGCACCTTCCGGTCCCAATATCACGACTTGTCAGTGGTAAAGGAAAGACTCAAATTCAAAAGAGTAAAAAAAACCCATGTGAAAATGGGTTGGCCATCTTTTGTAGCTTTCCACTACGTGGTTCGCGGCTGTAGTTTTTATGGTGGGAGATCTGCGCCAAGCCAATGCTGGATTGTTCAATAGTAGACGCTCTGCAGAGCCTGGGAGCCATTGCCCATGACAGACCAGCATGGCGAGATCTATGCATGAGGGTCTGTGCATTGTGATATTCCCACAGATCCTGAAACAGTCAAACTCAGGAAATAGCACTATCATTATCACTCAGGCTGCAATATTCATATTATGGACATATTCATAAATGACATATCTTCAATACCCATGAGCTACATTGTATATAATAATATAAGTATCATAATTATTATTATCATCGTTCTAGCTCATTTTTTCCCCTGTCATAGTCCTGTTTATCATGTTCAGCATAAGCGAAGTTGTGGATCATGCTTGCATGGTTGACTCCAACGCGTACATGCAAGTAATAATAATAATAATAAAAAAAACCCAGATGGGCTTACTGTACCTTTGTTTCAACCTAGTCACTCATTCAGATTATGTCAGCTGACTTCAGGCCAAGAGAGAAATGCGCAGCCGAAAGAAGCATGATTGTACATGTACATGTACTTGTGTTCAACTACGTGTAAAGTGCTCACTAAACTTCGCTCTGAAAGCGTCAAATGCCACACACTTCATACATGTACCTGTACGCCAAGACCTGATCCGGATCGTTAATTTGATTACATGTATGCAAATGAAGGTGAAAGTTGTGTAACTGCAAGTCCACATAGCCCAACCTGCATACAATAACAGTCAGCACTTCTATTCGGACACAGGCAAAAGGCACCGCTGATTGCGGTGATGAGAGGTCCCCCACCCACCCCCAGGCCAGGGAGAGCTCCATTACTCGGAACCAGGGAGTCGTGAAAACCGGACTTTCATGACTCCCTAGGCCATAATTACTAGGCTAGGACAGTGTGATATACTTGAACATAACATACATGGACATGTACATGTAGCTAGCTTAGAATCTTCCAAGTCTAGATGGTGGATAGCTTGGTGCATGTAGTAATACATTTTGTACTTAGTGCAGAGGAGGGAGCCCTGGGCCTGGTGCAAAAAAAAGATGGCCATCCGAATATTGCCACTTGGCAAGTCCCGCTGTGACCAAGGTGACGTTCGAATCTACATCTGTTCGTGGTCTGTCCTTGTCATTTTCCATCGTCCTTACACATGCACGTACAACCAGTCACCCTGGTACCAATATCGTGTACAATCGCTCGGAAACGTTGGATAAGCAGGCCGGAGAGTAGAATGGCAGCTTCACTTGAATAAAATTTACGATGGCGAAGTCCATTCAACTGGTGTACGTGCGTGCCTTCGGACGCAACCGCACGCAACGTTGGACAATCTGCAGATGCTTCCCACGTACACAACTACAAGATAACACACATCTACAAAATTAGTCAAGAGAGATTTCAACCCACATGGTCGATATCCGTCACTCCTCACAACCGCCAAACTATGTGCATAGTTTCAATCCTTTAAAAAGCGCTATCTTGTAGAAATGAATACAATTCAATTCAAATTATCGTGCGCTGCTGATACAAAGTCATGTACCTATTGTCCAACAATTGAACCCATGCTTTGTGTTCAGTCCTCGTTGAGCATTTGCTGACTTGCAGGTGTTCGTTGTTGCCCGGTGCCAATTACGACCAGCAGATGGTTGCACTTTGGAAGGACTTGGCATGACGCATGCCATCATCCCCCCCCCCCCCCCCACCCTTGCATGTGATTGTGTCTTCAACAGACTCTTGCATATCCGTACTAGTACATGTAGATCTACCAGGGCACTGTAACTAATAACTTGTAAGGCTGGTTCGGCGTTGCATTGATGCATGGGACAGAGGGTCTACGTGGTTGTCCCCTGGCCTGGACCTGGCCATGCAGCTTGTACACGACGTAGCATCAATCGTACAATTCTCTCTTTCTCTCTCTCTACATCGGATTCTGTAGATCTAGTGTAGACGCACATGACAGCACAACTTTAACTGTCAATACTGAACATCAATACAGAATTACAGATGTATATGACGTACATCACATCCTGTATAATTATAGGATTATGTTCTGTTATTGCTGTATTGCCTCTCATCAGAAAGCACACCAGCTGCAGCAAGTGGGGTCAGGTATGTAGCCGGGGCCAGTCTGCAATGCAAGGGTAAATATTGGACCAGTATGAAATGCACAACCAACTAAGGAAGTACATGTATGCTAATATGCCAGTCAAGTGAAGCCAAGTGGGCGGGGAAAGACTTTAAGTGGGAGCTCCAGTGTTGGAAGCAACCAACTATGTACTACTAGTACTTTCTTATGATTACACCCTCGTGATGCCCTCCTGGGTGAAAATTTGGACAATTACTGGACGTGGTGTAGCCAAGGACTGTTCGTGTGCTGCGAGTTGATTGAAAATTATAATTTCATGTATCACCAAAGTCGCTACTAATATTTAATGCTGTTGTGCCCAGTGCTGGGTTGTGACTACAGTCCAGTGATGTAGCTGGTGTGGAGGTGACAACCATTGGGTATGACCAATGGTCCTAAACAATTGTACTTCCGAAGTACATGTACTGCACAACCATGAGCGACACTGACTCACGCTGCTATCTACAAGTAGTGTTCACGTGGCTTTTGTCGCGCTGGAAAAAGAGCATCTAGGGTTGTATCCCTGGTGATGCTTTGGCCTGGAAAGCACTATAAAAGTGGTGCCGAGTCTTCAGGCACAATCTTCCTCGGCCTACTCGAGCTCAACGGATGGGGGCGAATTCCCCAAAACACTGCCAGTATTAAGCAGGGAGCGGTGTTTTCTTGCAGGTGTACTGTGTCGAAGGTTCCATGGACTTCTCGCGTGCTCTGGATGGCAGTTGTGAGTCAGCAAAGTGAAGTCAAGTCGGCCACGGTAGGAAAAAGAGCAAGCTCCAATGCTGCGAGCAACCAACTTTCTTATGATACCAAAGACAGGCAAAATGGAAGGGAGGCCGAGAAAAAAAAAGCTAAATTCGAACCTCGCAACGCAATCCGTTTTACCACTGGCAACAGGGCATGTTATACTTAGTACCTGCAGCTCTCAGCATTCATCATCCTCGACAACTATCACAACTATGGTGAGCTGGTAACATCGTAAAATCTGATCTCACACAAAATGAGAGAATGATCAGTCAGAGAGAATGATCAGTCATGGTGGGGGAGCGAGGCAGCGGCAAGCACCGTTAGCAGTGCAACACAATAGTCCACAGACTGATCACTGCCACAGGCCGCAAAAGACTAGCTATTTGGTCCGGTTGAAAACACAAGGTAAAGCTGTGAAAAAAAAGGTGGGAGTAGGTATACCCGCTGGTCGATAAAAGTTATAAAATAGAAAAAGAAAATCCATAACGTTGACTTGCAGCAAGCAGTGCTTTCTTTGATCTACTGATATGGACATAGTTGTAACATGAGGGTCCAAGCATCGTCCTTTAGTACGCATTCACCGATTGTCATAGCTCTCTGCTGATGCGTTGCTTGGTGCAATAGCTGCCACGCGGGCCATGTGAGTAACATGGCAAAAGAACTATTTAGGCAAAATTGATGTGCGCACCGGAAAGCATTATATTTTTTATCCGATGAGATGTGTTTTAATAGTCATATAAGAACACAATTTTTGGGAATTTAAAGTCAAAGGGAGGAAGATCAAATTGGAAATGAAGATAAATAGAGTTGTGGGCATCTTCAAAATAAATAGATCCAGTTTAAATTTGTCTCAAAGTGGCAAGCTGTGATGGTAGTGGTGGTAGCTTGAGAAAGACTTGCTCCCAGTAAAGTTGTTTTAGTGGCCAAGAGAGGTGCGTGGAAGGCAATGGTCGTCAGCTTTTCGATGAAGAGCACCATGACTCTCAACAAAGACCATTGACACTGTCACTCATTACTCTGATCAAGCCCCTGCAATACGCACAGCATTGCCCATATCGGCACAATTGACCAGCGGCGAGCATGTTCAGCCTCTCCACAAAGCGGGCGTTCGCAGAAATGGACTGACAGAGTGTACTATATGCTCCTTTGTCCTGGTACCACGGGGAACACAAGGCAAGATCCAAGGCTATGCCCAGGGAAAGGTGGTAGCTTGCAGAAAGGAGATGCTCCAAGGTATACAATCAAATACCTAGCATCCTGGACCCAATCGGTTGCCAGTAAGCTTTGTCCACACAGGTGCACGCATGTCTGCAAGAAATCTCTAATTCAGTCAACTTCAGTCAAGCCACCTGCAAGAAATCTCGAATTCAGTCAACTTCAGTCAAGCCTCCTACCTCTTGCTGGGATCAAACATCTCCCACATGCGATCAAACTCCTCTTGAAAGGCATTTACAAGATGAGGGCGGCTTGAGATGAGGACATTTTCATGGTTGCCCATTACACCCGCACGTGACCAGTTCAGTGAGCCATTGACCAGTGTTTTGCCATCAATGATAGCAAACTTATGGTGAAGGTAGAAGTCCTCCGGACCCTGGCGAACCTGAAAGCAGGCAGGAAAAGGACATCATACTGACTTCATTCGGGATGCACAGCAGCCAGGAGGAGATAACACTGTACTTCCTGAAGATGACAATACTAATCAGTCAAGATACATACCCGTATTATCTCTAAAAAATTCATGTCAGACACACACATTTCAGGGTTTTTTTCGCCGGTACAGATAATGAATTTACACAGTGTGCTTATAATGGAGACTGAGCACTTTATTTTTTGAATGCCGCCCCAACGTGTTCTATTATTGGAGACTGTGCTTATATTAGAGATAATACGGTATACATGATGGTTTTTGCTAATGAGCAGAATCAGTATTCTGTCATGTTATGTCATGCTGGTCTTGTCTTTTCTAATGAACAAAAAAGTGATTCTGAAACGAGGAGCGCATGACCTGCGATGACCTTCCTGCTAGGCATTTAACAAGATTAAAGACAAGAACAAAAACCAGAACAAACAACAGCAATGCAGCAGCAGCAACACCAGCAACAATAAACGTACCAGTATGCCTGCTTTGAATAGCTCCGCGACTGCACAGCCACCGGCGCTGACCTGCTCCAAGTCCACCAGTACACGCACGTGAGCGCCACGGCGCTGTGCAGCCAGGACTTCTTCCTTTATGAACATGTAGGAGAACGTGTAGATGGCAATGTCCAGTGTGTGCTGCGTTTCCCTCAGCGCATCCAGGAGAACGGCCAGTGGATGGTCGGGTGAATGGCCGTGTGTGCAGTTAAGCCGGCGACATTGAGTGGCTCTCAAGACTGACTGGCATGGTGCCTGTATTCAAAGGCAGAACAAACAAACAAACACAGTGGTCATGTAACGTTAGAGGCAACTGTTCTTCACGGCCATACAACGTTTACGCCATATAAGGGGAAGAAAGTCTAAAATCAATGTTTCACCACATGTAGTCTTCGGAGTGCTGAGTTGATTCGTCTTGGTCCGAAGAAGCTGAGACGCTCCCTTCCTCCTTTAGTCCCACTCGAACTCGCCACTTTCACCGAAACTGGGTGACTGCACCCTACTAGATGGGGATTTGTATGCAAAATGTCACTAAAAGCGCCTTTTCGTTCTTATAAAAGCACGGATGAACGCGATTGGCCCATACGTTGTAGTCTTTCGGGCGCTGAGTCGACTGGTTTGGCCAGAGAAGGCTGCGATGCAGGGTTCAGCCCTTATTCCCAATCGAATACGGTTGAGTAAGCAGTCACGTGCTCATGCGTACACCAGTCATCTGGTAACCGTGCCCTCAGGCTACAACTTACAACCTTGCACACACACGCACACACACACACACATACACACACACACACACACACACACACACACGCATACACACACACACACACACACTGTTCGAATGCCAAGAGCGCTCTGCACAACTCCAGTCCCAGCACACCGGCAGTTGCACAGTGAAGGGTTAACACACAAAGCACCAGGCCCAGTACGGTGATGGTAGCATGGTGATGGCTAATGCCCACAACACCAGTCCCAGCAAGGTGAAGGTTCAACGCACACAGCATTCCACAATCACGCACACTTCACGGCACAGGAAATCTCTAAATGATAAGCAGAGTGCAGAGATTATATGAACAAAAGGGCAACAGGCGTGCAGCTGGGTTATCAATCTGCAGCGCTCACTGGACAAGAAGACAACTCAACATCACAGCATGATGTAAATGATACGATACTGGGAAGAATGCACAAGACAAACACAGGTAACGGAAGACTAATATACACCTCAGCATGTTCATCAGGAAAGTGACACGGAGTAATGGGAAGCTGTCAGCATTCAGAAAACAGCCACTTGACAACATTCTGTCACTCACAGTTGTAGCAAGCCAGTTCACACAGCAGGATAGCAACGGGAAAGCAAGACAGCACGCCAGCAATGCCCACACTCTTTGTATCCTCAGAGAAAACCGAATGAGGTGAACGAAGGAAAGAGCTTGCTTTAAAGTAGGCCAGTCAGCAAGCCAGCCGTCATACGTTATCATCACAACCGGATCACCTAGGATCCATGCATACAACCGCAAAGCAAACAGACTTGACCAGAACTAAATGAGAAGATGCCAGGTATGTACATTACACGCTCTAATTCCGCTGCATAATGTCACAAGTTGTCAACTCCAGGTTCCACACACACACACACACACACACACGAAGGGACTGAACGGCATCACCATACTTGAGCTCCACACTCATGACAACCAACGATACAGTTCAAGGATGCGTGTGTGTGTGTGTGATCATACAACTGACAGCAAAGTAAACAGCGTCTTTGAGTGGACCATGATATGCACACAATCAGTACAGCGAAGCAGAGTCCCTTGTATGTACGACTACGTGTACACAAAAGTGTGCAAGTGTATTATACAGGTATCAGGTATCACACATGAACCACAAACAGTGGAGATATGGGGAGAATGAAGTTGAAGACTCCACTGCAGCTGTACTTATGGTTGATCATAATATGGTGGTAAGTACAGACCTGGCAATATAGCGGTAAATACACACCTGCCCACACACGTTCTCTACATGCCAAAGTTACTCTAGCACAGAGCTCTCCTTCTCACTACCACCACCACCACCACCAGTCGGTACAGTGTTTGCTTTTTCGTTGCTGCTCTTATCACCATTGCAACGACTTTGAAGAGTAATGGTACAAAAGTCCTCGTCAAAACTTCCGCTTCCGGGCTTCGTGGGTTAACATGAGAAACGAGTATGCCTGTATGTGTGCATGTACATCAGGGAGTTAATTCGTACAGGTAGACAATGCGGGCGACTGTAACGATACACGATGGGAGTTTCGCTTCCAGGCTGCCCGCTCCAGTCACCTTTGGGGCAGGGTCAATTTATACATGCTCACATATTGCATTGCTTGTCTACAGTCCATTTCAAAACTATAGACGCGTAGTGTTTTGCAAAATTCGATGGGATTTATTTAAATATTTTTAGTTTTTCTCCAGATTCCGTCTCTGCATCGCTTCACAATTCTGGCTACATACTTTGTTTTCGCTACAATTGAAGTTTATTTTTAGGCCAGGTTTTCCGGTTTTACATGTAATTTCTGTTTTGAAGGGTTTGACCAGTTTGTTTTAAGGGTTTGACCAGTTTGTTTCGGATTTTGCTCCTGCTGAGACAGCTACAGTGCTGCGCCCAGACCATCGCGGGTGCATTTTTGTACGGGTCCTGGTAGCCTCGTGGTTTCGATCCGTGATTTCCAGTACAAGTGTGGGGCATTCGAATCCCATCATGCCTCCTGCCTTTTTTTCTCTTCTTTTCTGCATGTTTTGGATCTTGTTGGGTGAAATACAGTAGAGATGATAATTATATTTTTTCTTTTTGATTTGATTTGAGCCTCCCTGTTCCCTTCGCCTGACACAACGAGTGACAGTGGTTTCACTCACGCCAGTTGCAAGGTGAGTTCGACGACGAGGATTTCGGATACTCAAGCGTCAATCAAAATCCAGCTCTTGTTCGAAGAAACAATGACCACGACTAATCATATCTTTCTCGGCATCACTGAGATTCTTACGGGCCTTGGAAGCCATTACAGTCAGGCACTCAGAAAATGCAAACAAGAAGAAGATTCATTTGAGACTTTCATTTCTTTTGAGACTTTCCTCACACCTTTTCATTTGCGACTTTGCGTGTTTTGCATCTTTTGTATTTCCCGCGGCAACGAAGAAAAACCTGAAAAACACATCTGAAAACCAGAAAACACTCATGCAAAACTCACGGCTGTCGTGCGCTACAGTACGTACGGCTCGTACGTATGAGTTCACGCGTCTATAGTTTTGAAATGGACTGTAGGCCTTGCTTGGCTAGGCACTGCTTGTCTGGGCATTGCTTGTCTTGGCATTGCTTGTCTGGGCACTACTTGTCTGGGTACTGCTTGTCTAGGCATTGCTTGTCTGGGCACTGCTTGTCTGGGCGTTGCTTGTCTGGGCGTTGTTTGTCTGGGCATTGCTTGTCTGGGCATTGCTTGTCTGGGCATTGCTTGTCTGGGCATTGCTTGTCTGGGCACTGCTTGTCTGGGCACTGCTTGTCTGGGCACTGCTTGTCTGGGCACTGCTTGTCTGGGCATTGCTTGTCTGGGCATTGCTTGTCTGGGCATTGCTTGTCTGGGCATTGCTTGTCTGGGCATTGCTTGTCTGGGCACTGCTTGTCTGAGCATTGCTTGTCTGGGCATTGCTTGTCTGGGCACTGCTTGTCTGGGCACTGCTTGTCTGGGCATTGCTAGTCTGGGCACTGCGTGTCTGGGCACTGCTTGTCTGGGCACTGCTTGTCTGGGCATTGCTTGTCTGGGCATTGCTTGTCTGGGCACTGCTTGTCTGGGCATTGCTTGTCTGGGCATTGCTTGTCTGGGCATTGCTTGTCTGGGCATTGCTTGTCTGTGCACTGCTAGTCTGGGCATTGCTTGTCTGGGCACTGCTTGTCTGGGCATTGCTTGTCTGGGCATTGCTTGTCTGGGCAGTGCTAGTCTGGGCATTGCTGGTCTGAGCATTGCTTGTCTGGGCACTGCTAGTCTGGGCATTGCTTGTCTGGGCATTGCTTGTCTGGGCGTTGCTTGTCTGGGCATTGCTAGTCTGGGCATTGCTTGTCTGGGCATTGCTTGTCTGAGCATTGCTTGTCTGAGCATTGCTTGTCTGGGCATTGCTTGTCTGGGCACTGCTTGTCTGGGCATTGCTTGTCTGCGCATTGCTTGTCTGGGACCCTGAGTCATGCTTGGGGTCAGCAGGTCATCACAATTGCGAGTTACAAAGAACAAGGATCACGTGGAAATTGCAAATCCGGGGTGAACACGCACATCGTTTCGGGTACACGTACTATGATCTCGTGCCAGCTCCCTGTATGCGCCTGCTCCCTGTATGCGCCAGCTCCCTGCATGCGCCTGCTCCCTGTATGCGCCTGCTCCCTGTGTGCGCCTGCTCCCTGTGTGCGCCTGCTCCCTGTGTGCGCCTGCTCCCTGTGTGCGCCTGCTCCCTGTGTGCGCCTGCTCCCTGTGTGCGCCTGCTCCCTGTGTGCGCCTGCTCCTGTGTGCGCCTGCTCCCGCTCCCTGTGTGCTACTGCTCCCTGTATGCTCCTGCTCCCTGTATGCTACTGCTCCCTGAAGTACATACATGTACAAGAATAGGAGCAATGCTAGAGAAGTATGAAAATGATCTTCTGCTTACTAGTTACTGTATTGTTGCGGAGTAGAAGCCGCACTTTACACACTTGTAAATTCAACCAAAACGTCTGTGCGGCATATTATAATACTAAGTACGACGGTCAAATGAACTGCGAAATACAGGGAAGATGTCGTGACAAAAAATCTGGGCGCGGCTTATACTCCAGTGTGGTTTATATTCCGGAAAATACGGTACTAGCAGTTCAGCGTGTAAGACTTACAGTAAGAGTCAATTAATTTACTAGCAGAGTCCTAGAACTCTTGGACATTTCGACTACAGTCTCTGCTGAACACGCATGATCGAGCCTCCTTCGCTCTATTCGTTCCAACACGGACACAATGCAGTATTTGCTTTGTTTACCTTGTGGGTCGGGATGCTCTTGTGCATACATGGCCAGTAGTGTTATGTTGGTGAATCTCCAAGTCAGTTGGTGATGTCACATGGCAGCGGCGCGATGGTATGGATCTTGCGTTGCTTGCACGCCCAATGAAGCGTCCGTATTCTCAGGGTGCGGTTGGGTCATAGGGTACTATCTAGTGTGCTCATGGTTAACCGGTTACGTCCGCAGTGTAGCTTCATCAAGCGACAGGTTGGTGAAGCGTGCCCTGATAAACGGGATATATCAGTGCCAGATGCGGTGGCTCCAACGTGCTGGGATGTGCAGCAGCGACGTGCCCAACATGACCCAGCGCACGGTCGGTGCCAAGTACATTCCAGCCCTGCATCAGCCTGGTCGGTGTGGTGCGAGGCATCGAATGTACCCATGGAAGTTGTCCTGCAGCAAGATGGTGCAATCATCAAGGATTGCTGCTGGCTCTATCCCAAAAACGACAAGCAGCGTATAAACGTAGCGGAGCTAGAAGCCGTCGTCAAAGGGCAGTAGTCTACTGGTCTTGCAGGCCCAGTCCATGACAATCAAAACGAAAGGCAGGAGTGCTGGATTTGAATTCCACCTGTGGATCCTTCTTTCGAAAACATTGGCACCCAACACCCTTGCTTATCCTAACCCATGTCCGTCACTCTACTAACCGCCAAAATATATTTACCCACCCTCCAACCTCCGTAAGTAGGTATGGCGTCAGGACACAGCCTGTTGGGGAGGGGAAGCAGTGTAGCGAGACGGGCCATGCGTGTGCATGTGCGCACGTACGTGTATGTGTGTGTGTGTGCGCGCGCGCGCGCGCGTGCGTGTCCCGTACTGAGCAGTGGACTCAGCGGCTGACGAGCGCGGAGCTGGCTCGTCGCTTTGGATTAGAGGCGAAAATCAGCGATATCTTCCGTATACATCGTTTGCGATGGCTCGGCCACGTACATGTAGCGAGGATGGACTTGTCATGCCTCCCGCGGAGAGTGCTCTTTGCAGAGCTGCCACAGACCCGCCCACGCCATGGCCCGAAGCGGCGTTTGAGGGATGTTGTGCGGCATGAGTTCCGCACAATAGACATCCCTGAGGAGCATTGGTGCGACCTTGCGCAGGACCGTGGAGAATGGAGGGAGTTGTGCCGTCATCCGAGGCCTCAGCAGACGGTGGTGAAGGAATGTCGCTGCGCGTGTGGTTGTGTCTTCTCCCGCTCTCGAGATTTGAAGAGACATTCCCGCTTCTGCTCTGTCTGACACCGCTATCATCCTGATTGTGGATGGGTGATCACGGTTTAAGGTGTATGTGTGTGCGTGTGTGTACGTGTGTGTGCGCACGCGCGCGCGTGTACGTGTGTGTGTGTGTGTGCATGCGGGTATGATTCTCGGTAGCACTGTCCCCGAAAGGCCGTGGTGCTGAGAGATTTTCCGCGTAACCCACAGCGGTCTGCGACGCTGTCAAGTAAACGTATTCGTGGGGTACACATTTTTAAAAGTTATTGTGGTCCCTCAATCATGTACTTGAATACACTTGCAAGGATCAACATGATACATCTGTAGAGTCTAAGCCTCTAAGGATCAAAATGTACTATACTATAGTAACAGTGATTGTGTGCATAGAACTGACCTGTCCAACAGCAGGGAAGAATAGAACTCGGTCCTCTACCTCGCCATCTGTCGAAGGAGTCCGCCGAAATACCCAGGACCACAACCAGGCCACACCACCAGTTACAGCTGCACCTATGCAGGCTCCAACCAACGTCGGTTTCAACGCCATGCCGAAAGTCTCCACCAAGATAATTCCATCCCCTCGATCGCGGCCTCATTGATGATTGTTTTCTCATTTTCAATTTTCGGGACTGCACTGACTCGATTTTTGACCAGCATGTACATGTACTTCGCACGTGCGCGTGCACGTGCGCGTATCCGCTATCCACGTGATCCTTGAGTCATTCAAAAATCAAAAAAATGCAAAGAAGTCGAAACTCAACAGTCAAAATGATCCTGGCGTTTCTACTTCTTCCTGGAATACTGTGTCTGTCCTGGAAGCGTCAAGAAGTTTCTACAATTTCAGGTTCATGTTTAGTTTTTGATCATAGTATCTATTCCAGTACATGTACCGGTAGTTGTTTTCTGATTTCATGAAGCAGCTGGACTGCTGTGTAGATCACGTCTTCGTATGACCAGTTTAGACGAAACTTCCCTGGTTACATTTTTCTAGTGGAATTGTGCCTATGCTAGGCTTTGGGCAGTTTGATAGAAGAAGCAGGCGAAGAGCTACAAATTCAATGTCACTTTTGGATGAATATCTATGAGTAAAGCACCCTTTCCCTGCGGCGATGTCCAATTTGAACAGTCCTCAGGTAAAATCAATCTAATTGTTTTGTATCAGCTTTTCCATAGCTGAAACTTTATAGCATACGGTGTTATTGATTCGTTCACGGTTTCATGCACAATACAGTAAAACAAGATGGAACAGCTGACAAAAATTAATAGATTCATTCAGCATATTCGAGAGACGACTAAGGGCGCGTTCAGACTACCGATAAAAAGTGACGGAATGGGAAAGTCGCCAAGGTGATTTGATCACGTGACGTTACTGGCACGTTACCGGCGGAAAAGTTTCACTGCCGCGGCTGCTGCGGCAGTAAAATTTTTCCGGCAGTAAAAAAGGTGCTCAGGCTGCATGCGCGCTGGGAAAAAAGGGAAAATCCCTTGTCAGTGCTGCGGTGAGAGCTGAAAACTTCACGGTAACGTTAGTTTGTTATCGGTAGTGTAAATGTCCTTCACGGTTTATCGGCATTCACGGTTTGACGGCATTCACGGTAGTCTGAATGCGCCCTAAGGGATGTACAACTGGCTTATACCATGGGCTGTATCACCCGGTCCGGCCGTTCGGACGGCTATGGCTGGACCTTATTTAAATCAAAGTTGACCCACCCAATCCGTGCGAAATGGGATTCTCATCAATAATGTTCATCTCCGGTCAAGTATCCCAGCTGGCCAGACCACTTGAAATTCCAGTGCCTGCTTCAGTACATGTAAAAGATCACGTCTAGAGTTTCAAAAATATAGGCGCGTGATTTCGAAAAGCCATTAGGCCAGCATCTATACCACATAAAATCTGTGATCACTTTGTGCATAAAAAAGAAATTCTCGAAAAGCTCCAGACAAATTTGAAATATTTCAAAAATGCCATGCGTCTATATTTTTGAAGTGGACTGTAACCATGACAAAGTGGGGTGGCTAATGACAGCAGATGTACAGGGCTTCATAAGTATAGCACACTGCCATGACGCATAGGAAGAAATGAATCACTGGTATTAACTTTTAAAAGTGTGTGTTCACATGGGGGGGGGGGGGGGGGGGGGGCTCTCAAAGAACTTGATGCGAGTCTCATAGGGTAAGAAGGGGCGAGTAACAATTTTCTCACGAAGCGATTCTGAGAGCTAGAGCCTATTTGGCAATAGGCCAGATTTGAAAAGGAGCGCATAAAAACTTTGCTAGTAGCTCGCTGTGACAGCAGCACAGTGCGCTCATATCGACGTGGTTACAACAGTGTAGGAAGTTCCTGATTTCTTCCAGGGACATCCCTAGACTATGCCGGTGTGCTTCGGACAGTGTTTTTTGAGAGTCCACCTGATCACTTCTGCGAAAAATAACCAGAGAATCTTGGAGTTTCTAGAGAGCCCCACGCGAGTGCACTCCTAGTTTCTACTGAGAGTTTCTTGTAAAGTCATTGATCAGGCAAGAGTGTGTCTGGGTAGTGGTGTATGGAAGGGTGTGTCTGGGTAGTGGTGTATTGAAGGGTGTGTCTCATCTACCAACTATTAGGGTAACTATACATTGTATGTTGCGGCTGAATTGAAAGGATTCGGAATAGCAGTACTCTACAGTCCATTTCAAAACTATAGACGCGTAGGGTTTTTGAAATATTTCAAATTTGGCTGGAACTTTTTGAGAATAGATTTCGGAATATTGCTCAGGACCGCTCCACAATTACTCTCATATTATAGTTTCTAAACGATTGGGTAACAGACGCCCAATTTGGAAAAATGTATGCACAAAGTGATCACAGATTTTATGTGGTATAGATGCTGGCATAACGGTTTTTGCCTAGGTACGCGTCTATAGTTTTGAAATGGACTGTAGTTATTTGTTATTTGTTTCAAACTCAGACATGCATGTCCGCGAAAAAGAAGAAGAGTGTCCGGTGTACAGTGAAATGTGCTACATGTGCTAGACTTGTGTCACTGCACTGCCTCACTGCACTGCCTCACTGCATTGCCTCACTGCACTGCCTCACTGCACTGCCTCACTGCACTGCCTCACTGCACTGCCTCACTGCACTGCCTCACTGCACTGCCTCACTGCACTGCCTCACTGCACTGCCTCACTGCACTGCCTCACTGCACTGCCTCACTGCACTGCCTCACTGCACTGCCTCACTGCACTGCCTCACTGCACTGCCTCACTGCACTGCCTCACTGCACTGCCTCACTGCACTGCCTCACTGCACTGCCTCACTGCACTGCCTCACTGCACTGCCTCACTGCACTGCCTCACTGCACTGCCTCACTGCACTGCCTCACTGCACTGCCTCACTGCACTGCCTCACTGCACTGCCTCACTGCACTGCCTCACTGCACTGCCTCACTGCACTGCCTCACTGCACTGCCTCACTGCACTGCCTCACTGCACTGCCTCACTGCACTGCCTCACTGCACTGCCTCACTGCACTGCCTCACTGCACTGCCTCACTGCACTGCCTCACTGCACTGCCTCACTGCACTGCCTCACTGCACTGCCTCACTGCACTGCCTCACTGCACTGCCTCACTGCACTGCCTCACTGCACTGCCTCACTGTATGTACTTGTTATTGATGTGCTGCAGGAGTTGCCTCGTGTGTCACCTTCACAGCCGCTGATATGTCATCCCAGTGGTTATTTTCTGTCATTGCCACAAGCAAGACAATTGCAGCTGGTAAGTATAGTTATTTTACTCCGAAGTATAAATGCTCATAGACTTCTCTCGATGTGCAGACAGAAGCTTCTACATGAAAATTATACCGTTTTCATATTCCACACTTCCTTAGCTCTTGATACCTCTCTCTCCTTCCTCCCTTCCCGGGCCTTCTCTCCGTCTCTCTCCCTCTCTCGCTCGTGAGCGAGCAAGCTCTATCTATCTATCTATCTATTCAATCTGCGGACAGACCTGTTTTCAAGTGAGAATTCAAGTCGGCAGGAGAACTGTTTTGTTTTGTTCATCTTCTATTGTCTTCTCTCTCTCCCTTTCTCTTTCTTTCTCTTTCTTTCCTGTGAAGTTTCCTCTACTACCCTTGGTGCGAGGCTATCATATGATCCGGAATATCTGCAGAGTTATGTGTGTCTGGCCATGTGTGTGTGTGTGTGTGTGTGTTTGTGTGCGCACGCGCGCGTGTGTGCATGTGTATGTGTACATGTGTACATGTGTGAACTTCAATGTGCTATAGTCAACTGACCTGAATGAGCCACCAGACCATTGGCTGCACAGCAATGCGCAGGCTCAGTCGCACCCGAGGTCTCCACATGTGTCTCCGACACCAGGAGCAGCAGATACTGCCCATTCACCTGCCCAGCACAAGCAGCCACCAACTGAACAGTTTGTTTCTCAAGGAATTAGCAATGCTAGTCCGGCTGACAGTCCTATCACTGGCAAGTCATCGGTTATTCGTCCACCTCCAGGTCTTGGCCCTATCTCATCTAATGCTCCTCCAGGTCTTGGTCCTGTCTCATCTAGTGCTCCTCCAGGTCTTGGTCCTGTCTCATCTAGTGCTCCTCCAGGTCTTGGTCCGGTCTCATCTAGTAGTCAGCAATTGTCTAGGGCCATGCAAGCCAACGTGCAACCCCATTCCAGTGCTCTGGTGCCGCGTGTGCCTAGTGACGTGGCCGATGTACAGTTTGCAGGCGTTGCAGAGCCGAGCCACGTACCGCATCATCCGTCTTTTGGGGTGAGGCTCATAGTATGTGTATACAATTTTGTGTTTCACTCTGATTTTGCAATCCACACTAGTTCAAGCTGAGTTTCATGTCTCCCTTGGGCACAGTTATTACTTCATCTTTGGATACTCCAATACCCTTCAGCATGCCCTTCACATTCTTTTTACTCGCTATCCGCTGTTTGGCGCTGAAAAGCGGGCTTGTGTTTGGTTCATGTGCGTAGTGCAGTTGGGGATGCGGCCACACTCTTTCCAGGAAAGTCGTTTGTAGACTTGTAGTGTATGCTTGCCGCCGATGTTTCTTTTCAGTTGGCAATGAGCGCATGTTCATGGTTTTGAAACTTACTTCTTCCCTTCTGTTTCTGTTTGCCGTTTGACATGTTGTATTGTGCAGCCGGAGCCATGTGTCCTTGAGCCCACAACGCTTGCCGACAAGATTCCACCGTCCTTCGGCAAGCTGTTGGCAACCGTGCCCAGTAGTACGTTGAAGCCACATCCGGACGAGGCATCGGACATACTCAATTCTGCCGGCAGGTTCACTTGGTCGGACTTGCCACCAGCCAGCTCTCTCATAGCTGAGGCTCATCCAGATGCTGTTGGAAAAGTCGACATCATTGGCTCAGCCGAGGTTGGTGCAGCCGGCCCTTTTTAAAATCTGGTCATCTGAGAGTTTTGAAGGAAATTCTCATTTTACTGTATAACCTGTAATTCCAATATGTTCACTTAAAAAAATTACGATTTAGGAATTCTAGCCCGATGAGAATTTGGAATTTGCTGATTCACTATAGTATTTTTGTTGTGTTGTTCTCCAGGCTGTGAAGAGTTTGCTGGAAGCTCCTTACTCGTAAGTGATTGCACAGTATGTCTGATTTCGAAACTTGAGAAATTTGATATGAAGATTCGACAGTCTTATTACGAATTACATATCACGCTGATCACATCTCTTCACAGGTCTACCACCAGAGCATGTCTGTAGGATTTCCTACATTGTATGTTTCTACAGATGCACTTGGTGAAATCCGACCCAAAGTGCAAAGCCAACACTCTTCACCCGTTCTAATTACACCACCATGTTTGTACAGGCGTATGTCCACCAGCATTCACACCACTTCCATGAACCCTATCGTGTCAATGGCCGCTGAAGTCTAGGGGCCAAATATGCACGCTGGGGCGGTTTTCAACTAGCATAACTGTGCAATGTAGGTGCATGAGAATCAACACATTCTTCCTTTCTCGTAAGTTAGTTTGAGGGATTGAAATGGGTTCTGTGTGTGTTCCCCATTGCCTCCCTACTGCTACTTATATCACCTACATGTATATGTTGTTTAAAAGTTAGTGTACTGCTTTACCGGTATTTCTTTTTCTGCCTGTATCCACCTGAAGAGAAGGGGCAGTGATAGAACTTGTGGAAATTTTGGAATGTTGCTTGTACTTGTAAAAGGAGCCCGAAACGTGTTCTATTGCTTAGTCTGATTACAAACTCTGTTGGCATTTATTCATTCTTGTGTGTGTGTGTGTGTGCGCGTGTGTGTGTGTGTTATGATGTTGTTTTGTGATGTAGTGATACACCTCTAAGCTTGGCTGTTCATCGCGTCGATCGAACACTGCTGGTAGATTCTCTTGATCTGAGTAATCTCTACAGGGCACAAAGACCACCGGTACGTTTTAACACCGTAGGAGGGAAGGAACACTTTCTAGGTCGTGTTGAAATTGGAAGTATGTGTACACGTACAGGGTTGTTTTAGTTATTCTAGATTGGCAATATCTACGCGGTGGACTATCGTAAAATCTCGCCAGAGCGGCCTGCCTCTCACAAGTGCACTCTGATATGATATCTGGGAGGTGGGGGGAGGGGGGATACTCTGGGGCGCTGCAGCGTTATTTACTTGTAACGTCCTTTGTTCGCTGATTAGTTTGTAGTCATCTTGCTCTGCTTGTACTTGTGTTCTGTGATTTCAGGCAGGTGCAGCTTTTGATCATGCATCTCAATCGAAGCCGTCATCTCACCGTCAGCAATCTTCATCCAGCGAGGCAGACTTTTCATCCTCTTCGAGCCACCCGAGTGCTGCAGCGGCTGCGCCTGTGGGTGGTAAGAGCCACCATGGTGGTCTTCTTGGTGTCATGCAGGAAGCTGTCAAGTCGGACAGGACTCACGTCTCCCAGGTCAGACCCGCCGTCTGTACAGGTTGTCCTTCTGTTGCATACTTCACTCTAAAGTGCGTGTGTTTTTGAACTGCACCTGCACATTATCTGTGCTTAGCATCACTTTGCTCTCTTTCGTATCTGGTGTGCACATGTTGAGTTTCGGAGAGAAAAGAACAGTAGGTAGATGTCCTAATTTCCTAACACTTGCAATATCTAAATCGATCCCCAACACTCCTATCCATTGAACAGTCTGGATACTGCATTCGAAATAGAGAAAGGGAAATCTAGGAAAGGAAGGTTGATTTTTCTTTCTCTATTGAATGTAGTACTGAGACTGTTCAATGGAGTGTCGGGGATCGACTTAGTCAATGAATTACGTGCAGGGGAGTCTGCGCATCCTTAAAAAACCCCTCCTAAGCCTGTATCACCATGTGATCCATTATGGACTGTACGCAACCACACATAGGACAGTGGTAGGGCCATGTGATAGGGACCGGAGAACCGTTATCTATATTCCGGTCTTACACAAGGTCACAATGGCGGGACGTTTTGCTGTGTTGTTACTGTGAGTTCCATGGCAATAGGGCAAATCATCAGACAACACTCGTCTGGTGTTTTGTATTCATCTGGAATCTTATTTGACCTGTTTTACGTGTCCTTTCAATCGACAGACCATATGTGGTGTTTGCTTCTATTTATATCTCCAGCGTGTTCTTCGGCCTGTGAAGAAAGACAGCGAGAAAGCACGCAGCAGAAAACTATTCTCCAAGTTTATGGCACACAGGTGGGAATGCAGCAGTACATGCATATTGTGAAAAATACAGGATTCATGGTGAAAGACCTGGGTTAGGTTACAAGCTAGAACACTGCATTACACACAGGGTTGAGTGGGAGCCCTGCCTACTACTACTAACCTGATTAGGTAGTACTGTCACTCCCTGCCCCCCCCCCCCCCCCCACACACACACACACCACCACCACCACCGCCACAACTTTACTTGTGTTCTTGTGTTCTGTTTTCTCATACATTCTCAGCTTGGCTGCACCTGGAGATGCTGAGGATGAAGAAGTGTTGCCAGAGCATGCAGACAATTACGGGCTGTCCTATCCCCAGGAATTCCAGACTATTCTGCCCAGCGCATCACCTCGGCTGCCAACTGCTGATTCTTCCTCTCCTGCTACCAATGTCATGCCATCAGCCTCAGCATCAGCCTCAGCATCAGCCGCAGCATCAGCCGCAGCATCAGCCTCAGCATCAGCCTCAGCATCAGCCGCAGCATCCTCAGCAGCAGTGCCAGTCCGTAAAAGTCATCAAGCAATGCTTCACTCTGCCAGTGACATAGCAATGCTTCACTCTGCCAGTGACATAGCAAAGTGGAAAGCCCAACACAGGGAACTTATGTCTGGTGAATATGACCGCAGGCCATCATTGTCCTCATCATTGCCATCATCATCCACAGCAGCAGCAGCAGCAGCAGGTGGTGGCAGCAGTTCTGCTGACAGTTCTTTCATGGCTGGTGCATCATCTGGTGTGAAAGGCACCGGCTGGCTGCAGCCTTCACATGACATTCACAGCGCCGCTGGCAGCATTTCCGTGCAATCGCAGGCAGAGACGTCATCTCTGGCTGGCCGTCACGTTCGCAATCAAGTTGCGGCAAGTCTCGCGAGACCGACGATGCCCGAGGCCTGGGCCAATGCCAGTCACCCTGCGGCGGCGGCACCACCGGCATTGCCCAGTACAGACAGTGATAGCAGTGTTGTAGTACATGACGGCAAAGCAGGCTGGACGGCGCCAGCATCAGCAACAGCGCAAGCACCAGCTGGAGCAGCAGCAGGAGGAGGAAACGAAGAAGAAGACACAGTACAGCCACCGGTACAATGCTCCGTTCCTCTCAAACCTCGTCCCGTCGCGGTCGGTTCGTTCGGGTCGTACGGCATGGTCCATCCAGACTCCGGAGTGACATCATCTTCTACCATATACAACATGGGTGTGAGTGCATGTACTCTGTTAGGAGTGCTGTGATCAAATCCTGTTTTACTTCTTTGAAAATGAAAGCTTTGACTTGAAATCAAGTACGGTGCACAGCCAGTGTTTATCGCACCTACTGAAAGACGTTACAGTGAGATTTGACTGTGCTGCATGTATGGTAGCAGCAGGATGGATTGTACCAATGTTTTTAGATAGTAGAGGGAGGGAGTTCTCAGAGGCCATGGGCATTCCCCAGGTTGCCAACTTGGACGTATGCTCTGCTGTTGAATCAGCTCCACGGTACTGAATAAGCTATGTCCACATTATTGTACACACTGTCAAGCATGCTATCATAATTATGTAGCCGATGCCATTTCTCTTCTGTGGTCTTCTATCCACACAGTGGCAGTGGCCATTCAGTCGCCATGTCGAGTGGGTGTTCAAGGATCTGCGGATGCTGCTCGGCACGAACATGCCCATATTTGGATGCGGCAAGTATCCCGCCGTCAGCTTGAAGCTAGTGTGAGTGTAGTGTGAGTGTAGGGTAGTCGACAATGCCATTGTTGCTGTTTAGTGTAGTCAACAATGCCATTGTTGCTGTGTAGTGTAGTCGACAATGCCAGTGTTGCTGTGTAGTGTAGTCGACAATGCCATTGTTGTTGTTTAGTGTTAGTATAGTACTTCTTACTGTTGTTATTCCAGACTAAGTAGGCAACTCGTTCTTGAGGTCTTGCTGCCCCACGGCCATGCCAATGACACAAGCCAGTCTTTGAAGGAAACATGAGAGCATATTTACTGTATCTGGACTGTGCAACTTCGTAGCCAGCCTGCACTATGCAGATTGAAACTACGGTAAAACCTGCCCTAACCGGACGGCTTTGGTGCAGCGGAAGCTGTCCTGATATGGCAAGATTCCGCTTGACCAGGGATATATAATTGATCCACAGCACTTTGGTGCATGAAAATGTGTCCAGTCAATACAGGGTTACGCTTCGTACGGTGTCCGGCGAACACAGGTTTTACTGTACTTCAGTAGATTTGGATAATCAAGTGGAGTAGCATTTCATGTGCTGGTTGTGTAATATGAGTGGCTTCCATATTCTTTCTACATTGAAGCTGGTGTTTAACAGTGTATGTATTGTTTGTAATCTTTAGTATTGACCATTGTCTATTGTCTTTTGTTGCTTGTTTGTGTGACTGCCCCTGTATTGTTTGTAATCTTTAGTATTGACCATTGTCTATTGTCTTTTGTTGCTTGTTTGTGTGACTGCCCCTGGCGTGCAGTGACGTGGCGCAGAGGATCGATGTGTTGACGGGCATAGACTATTGGCTGGATAATCTCATGTGTGGAGTTCCTGACCTGGTCATGTGTTTTCACCTCAATGGAGTGGTTAAGGTATTGCATGCGTCTAGGACTTTGCACAGAAGCAGGAACAACTGAAGCGTCTTTGCTTCAATGTATCAATCATGTGACTGATTGTAACTATGTGTTACTCCCCTTTATCATTGTTGTTTTGTCGCTGTAGTGAAGCTCTTGGCTATGTTGATTTGTATTCTTTCACTGTCTGCTCTCCAGGGCTACGACTGGCACAAAACAATGGATCTTCCCAATCTTGCTGCAAGCTCTTTCAACCCTGAAGTAAGCTAAGAAACCGGACCTTTGCACTCACTTTGGAGAAGGGAATGACCATTAGGACCGTGTTGTACACTCCACACACTGGCTACTGTATGTCTTGCTTTTCTATGTGCATGGTGTAATGTATACAGTGTATGCTGCTTGTTCAGTAGGCGTGTGTAATTGTTCTGGTTTTATCGATGATGTCAGGACTTTGAGCAGTGTGCAGCAATCTCATCATGTCTGGTAAGAATCCCGTCTGCATATCTGCTGTGTGTGTTGCTGTAGCTAATTTCTGATGTTGCTAACAATATCTACAATTTCCTGTACCGCACCACGGCCCAGGAGGGGCACACCTACTGGCTCTGCAAAGGTGAGTGGTCGCAGAAGCCTGCAAAGCTGCATCAAGTTTTTTGGTTGTCTGCGAGCACTATGAGTACGTTATACTTGATAATACACTGGAGTATTGGCCGGAACAAGAACCGAAGAATGAGTGGCCATATGTTCATGGATTACATTGTCGTTTGGCGAGGACTATTGGTGTGTTATCCCATTGTGATAATTATCTTCAACTGGATATGTATGTTGGTGCTTGGCATGCACTTCCTGTAACTCCTCAAGACTGCAGTGGAATGCGGCAACTAACTCACATCCATGTGAATTCTATTAATTTTGTTGTCTTGATGTGTGGAACTATGTGCGCAGACCGAGACGATGACTTCGTGCGTGTCTACGATCTCACGGCGATCTGTTTCAGGGTGAGGAGTTACTTCTTGTGTATACTTCTTGATAATACTGCCAGTGTGACAGTAATGGTGCAACAGCGTACATGTCCATGTACAGTTTGAAAAGGAAGGGCTGGTGCACACCATGTGTCTGTGTGTGTCTGTCTATCTGTATGTGTCTGTGTCTGTCTATCTGTCTGTTGCAGAAACCTGGCCGAAGCACAGCGGACAATCCCTACACAATCCCTGTAGCTATGCTCCTCTATAGGTGCGTGTTTCCATGACAACAGATTGTGCTTACCAGTGGGTTGGATGTGGAGAAGGAAGGGGGGGGGGGGGGCAAAGTTATAATATAACTTTGCCTTATAGTGCAATAGGAATGCTCGTATCTTGCTTGTTATTCCCTTGTGGTTACACTAGACCTATGGCCACCGCTCACTGACCTACAGTAGAACCACTATAGGGGATCAACACTACAGCTAAAGTCTTAACGTGATTTTGCATGGAGATTCCCTCGTTGCGCGAAAATTTGATCATGTATTATTGTACGCAATCAGAATCCCGCGTTTGGACTTTGGATGTGAATTGCCAGGATCACAGGTGCTTGCTGCTTTTCAGGCCATTTCGGTTGTTTTGATTTCTGGCTGGGTGCTGTTTCCTTCTGGAAAATCTTGCTCTTGATACTCGGAAAGTAAGCTACTACTGTAGCTCATCATACTCCCAGTTGTGAAAATGGGTCTCACTGTGTTTTCAGCAGAGGCAGGGGCAAAATCCATTGAGCTGGGAAGTGTGTGTGTGTGTGTGGTGGTGGTGGGGGGGGGGGGGGGGGGGGGACAGATGCTGTCCTGTCCTCACAGCACTGTGACAAAGGCAGTTTTTGATTGGTCCTGTCATAACCTTTCGTACATCGTGCATGATATTGTTGCGATTCTCAAAATTCGATTAGATTTGATGACGGGTATGTGTATGGCGGGTATGTGTATGGCGGGTATGTGTATGGCGGGTATGTGTGTGGCGGGTATGTGTATGGCGGGTATGTGTGTGGCAGGTATGTGTATGGCGGGTATGTGTATGGCGGGTATGTGTATGGCGGGTATGTGTGTGGCGGGTATGTGTATGGCGGGTATGTGTATGGCGGGTATGCGTGTGGCGGGTATGGGTATGGCGGGTATGTGTGTGGCGGGTATGTGTATGGCGGGTATGTGTATGGCGGGTATGTGTATGGCGGGTATGTGTATGGCGGGTATGTGTGTGGCGGGTATGTGTATGGCGGTATGTGTGTGGCGGGTATGTGTGTGGCGGGTATGTGTGTGGCGGGTATGTGTATGGCGGGTATGTGTATGGCGGGTATGTGTGTGGCGGGTATGTGTATGGCGGGTATGTGTATGGCGGGTATGTGTATGGCGGGTATGTGTGTGTGACCTCCGCAGCAGCAAACACGTGTTGGTGGTCAAAACGTTGGTCCGGCCATGGCTTGACTGACCTGACTGGTTCCGCCGGGCATGGCCATGGCCTGACTGACCGCACTGGTTCCGCCGGGCATGACTCGCCTGATTTTCGGTTATGGTGGCCATTATCGGGGTGAATCTGTGAATTTGATCAAATGGTGTGCTGTGATTGTTTATGGTCTGTTCTCCCCAGGACGGCAAAGTATTGGATGTTCTCGGAGCATGGCAAGATGACTACATCGTAAGTCAGTGGCTTCAGTCGGTAGAGACCTTTGCACATATGGCACATTGAGTATTTGAATGAAATTCAGGAAAAGTGACAAAACCTGATGGTCATGTGCTACGAAGAAGAAGTCTAAGGTTGACTTTGAGTGGTCGGGGAAAGGGGGTGCGGTCCAGAGAAGGCTTTAGTATGAATAGTTATACGGACTCTGGGTTGGTGTTAGGGGGAAAACGATTGTACTGATTTCTTGATAATTTCAACTACAATAATAATTTGCACTACACATGATGTTGAGTGCAACTTCTGGTCATGCAGCCGATAGTGGGCGTTTTTTGTTTTGTTTTGGTGTTGATATTTCTGAATGCCCGAAAGGTCTTTTAAAGCAGCGTAGCAATGTGTTCTGGTGAGCATTACTGCTGGAAATAGTGTGCTTGTCGGTATATCTATTCGGTGATTGCGTGTTAGATAATGTCGAGTGAGTATTTATTACCGTATTTGCAACCATGGGTGCCTGTCGTAATGGCAGATTCCTTGCCAGCTTCCTTCACAGCTTCGAGCTTGCTTTTCACACATATCAGCTCCTTCGCCAGTTCGTCAAGGCATGTTTGTTGGGCTTTTCTTAGGAGCCCACTGACCCCCATTCTGCATTGGATATTTAGATCAGTCCACCAGACCTCTGTTCATTGCTGGTGATGGTAGGTTTTCCAATCATTGTGTGGATGTGATCTGGTATGATTTAGGGTGCCATCACAGATGTTTACAATTCGTAATACGATGTGATGTGGTTGTTAAGAACTGGCTGATGCGGTTGGTATGTGCCCCGTTTTATACAGGCGAACGCGTGACATCTTTGAGCTGTTGAAGAACACCATTCACCTGCTGCAGGGTGACACGACGTGTCCGGAAGTACAGGTATCCGCACTGTATCTGCTCTCGACTCTCTGCGTCGACCGTCGCAACACAACCATTGCCGATGGATCTCCAGTTTTGCTCATTGAAGAGCCCAACTTTGACGAGGCAGATGGCAAAGACCCTGCCGACTCCGAGAGTCCAGGGCTTTCACCACCATCGACTCCTCCTACTGTGGAAAGATCTACAAATGAATCAGATGCAGATGGTTGGCGGCAGGATGGCCCGAAGAAGCCTGGTGACGGAGAGACCATGAGTGACGGTAGAGAAGTCCATTGTTCTGTCCCTTCAGCGCGTTCGCAGTCCTGTTCGTCTGTTACTACTACTGTTCAGGTATGTAGCTACATGATTGTACTGTTATCTGTTGTGTAATGATGTAATCGTAGGTATTCTAGCGGTTGCTTTTTCTTATTTTTTGGAATACACAACCTAAAAAAAGATGAAATTGCTCCAGACTTCCAAATCTTTGAATGTGTATTTTAAAAGTTGTATGTTGATGACCGCGGAACTTTTACTAAATTATGGCTGTCATTAAATTGTTGTCTCCATGCTGCCTTTTTGAATGTGTAATACTGTACATGTTTTATTGGGGCTTGCACATCAAGTGCGTTATCTGTCGTGTGTTTCCACTCTCCAGTCAATTGATGTACTGCTCAAGTCCAGCTTTTCAAAGCGGAAGGAGAAAGACAAGGTATGCAAGCTTCATCACATTGCTGCACTACTAGTATACTTACTGCTGCATATGTCCATGGTAGTATGTTGATGCGGATTGGATTGGTGATTGGGATGTACTGTAAGACATGTTATTATAACGAGCCGCAAATTTAACGATTGTCCAAAATTCATAGGTTAACGAGAAGATATGTTAACGATCTTGCAGTATTCTGCCATATCCACACACAGCATATATGAAGCAGTACGGCTTCAACGGATCTTATTATAACGAAGAAATGTCATCCGTTAAAACGTTAGATTTGCTTCCTCGTTATAATACATGTCTTACAGTATGTATGTATATGTATGTATATTTTTATATGAATTCGCAAGTACACACGGGCTACAAGCCCAATTACATGGAAGTGAATGCCATAATGAGGTTAATTAAGAAAAAGGGTGGAAGCAACAGGGAGGACAATTCAGGAGCAAAATTAACAATTATTGCACAAATATGGGCGTACCTGAGACCGAGGGTACCTGTGGAGTGATAAAATGCTAAAGCAAACAGAAGAAAGGAAATCACAAGCCAATACATGCTAAACTTCGCTTGAGTTATAATGAAGGGGGAAACCGGAGCTCAAGAAAATTATAACATACAAAGTCATAATAAGAATTTAACTGGATGAAGAGTAGCATATGGTGGTAAAGACACACCTGGCAAGTAGCATAAGCAAATATTTCCTGACAACGAGAGGGACTGTAACTACAGCCACGGCAGTAGCTGCTGTAGCAGCAGCAGCAGCAGCAACAACAACAACAGCAGCAGCAGCAGCAGCGCCGTGCAGACTACTCCAAGGAGTATGGGATTGCGAACATAGAAGGCGGAAGAATTCACGAAGTTTGCAGATCTAGCCTGCCAGCGTGAAGGGCAGTGCGGCTACGGTGAATTCACTGGGACGGTTGAGTAGGCAAACTTTGCTGGGGAGGGTGTTCCAGAGGACGGCACCACAGTGCGATGGACGGGATGTCCCTGCTGCTGACCGGGCTAGTGGGAGGCGCAAACCCTGTCCTTGCTGGAGGCGGGTGGTGTTTCCAGGAGCACTTTGAAACTTGTCCTGGAGGGCTGGGCTGGCGCGTTTGTGCTGGCAACGCCACACAAACCTCAGAACCTTCTGCTTGTGCAGCTCCTGAATGCTGTAGAGCTGCAAGCTGGTCAGGAGGGGTTGAGCATGAGAGCAGGGTGGCTGGTCAAACACTGCCCTGGCAGCTCGGTTCTGTAGAACTTACAAGCGAGAGACTTGCTCCCGTCACAGGCAGGCAAAAAACGGTGTCGACCCGTACAGCAGATCAGGCATGGTGATGGACTTCATGAGCTGTGTACGGGCCTTCAGACTTAATGCTCGCCTAGATCGCCAGAGCGCCCCGATCTTCTGAGATACTTTCTTGGCGATGCTGTCCACGTGTTGCTGCCAGTTGAGGGAGCTGTCCAGCAGAACTCCGAGGTACTTCGCAGTGCTTGCTGCTGGCAAACTAGTCCCATTGCAATGTACAGGAATGGCTTCACTGTGTATGCTCAGGACTTGGCTCTTTGTGGAGTTCAGGATGAGGTTGCGATCCTCTAGCCAGTCAGCCACTGCAGATACTGTCCGGGTAGGCGCCGCGGAGCATTCAGTAGGCAGCCGGTGGCTGAAGTACAAGCCAATATCATCCGCAAAGTGTACTGTGGGCACGTCACCAGCAACCTCTGGCATGCCGCGCGTGTATATACTGAACAAGATTGGTCCTAAAACGGATCCCTGTGGAACACCGCATGTGCATGCGTTACAGGGTCTGTCCTGGGTTCCAATGCGCACTTGCTGGGTTCGATGGCTGAGATAGTTGCCAAACCAGCTTAATGCCGTTCCAGAAACGCCAATGTCGAACAAGTCCTGCAGCAGCTTAGGGTGACTGACTTTGTCAAACGCCTTTGACATGTCAAGTAGGGATGCAGCAAGGCAATGTAGAGTCTTTTGCAGTGAGAACACCATCCGTTAGTAGCACAAGTGCATCTTCAGTGGAGTGATCCTTCCTGAAGGCAAATTGGGTCGGTGGTAGAACATTGTGTTCATCGAGGAATGCCACGGATGGTGCATGTTGCTCATGATTGGCGTGACTGCACACACCCATTTGTCTGGTGTTTGGTGTGCATTGCTATCAACACCATTGACCACACTCACGGTCCTCAGAAACATAGTGTTACATGGTAGTAGCAGACGCGTGACTGGCACACAGGAACGAAAATTACAGGACTGTATGTAGTCAAGTGGGCATTTGCTCTGGCCATCAAAAATGTGCCGTTATTCGAGAGTTGCCCGCTATGCCAGATTTTGTTATTGGCGAGTTTGATTGTATTCTCCTACTGGCAAAGACAATAAGGGACCGTCCGTAAATGCCGCTATGTTCTTTCTCTTCCCATTCCCCCTTCTCCCCTCCCTCAAGACAGACATAACGTTCCACAATTTTATGCAGGGGATGAATGGTGTTTTTAAACGAAGGGACACATGCTCTGGAAATCCCATCATGTTCGGCTATGATGCGGAACATGACAATTGTCTCTCTATATTCCTCTTTTATCAAAACCGTTGAAGTGCCATCAACTAACTAACGCGGATGTGCGTGTGTATGTATGTATGTGTACATGTTTCTGATCAAGCATCCATCTCCGCCACCACCAAATACCAATGAAAGAATTCAACAGACGATTGAGCTTATTGAAGAGGTACGATATACATGTACTTTGGTATATGGTCTGTGCATTTGTGCATGTGTGTGTGTGTGTGTGTGTGTGTGTGTGTGTGTGTGTGTGTGTGTGTGTGTGTGTGTGTGTGTGTGTGTGTGTGTGTGTGTGTGTGTGTGTGTGTGTGTTAGTGGTGAAACGAATATTCGAACATTCGTTCGGTTTGTCACATTCGAATATTCTTTAAGTCACATTCGAGTATTCGTCACGTCACTTCGAATGCAGTGCATGTATATACAAGCACGCCGAACACATATACAGTGCAGTGCATACAGCCTGCCTGTGACTTTGTACTCCATGTTTTCTCATGCATGTGCATCCTGGACTGCCAATGTTGCACATAACATGTATGAACTTCGAAGTAGCCTTATGTGGCAGTGCATTTTGTGTGGCACTACCGTTTGTCATACCTAATAATAATGACAATATCCATCAAATGACTGGGAGGAGGGCATGTGATGGCATCTCTGTTACCAAAAGAAATTAAAGAACATTCGTACGTTCGTTCGATAAGCCAAAGAATATTCGGTTACTAGGTTTTGACATTCGTTTCACCACTAGTGTGCGTGTATGTTTGCTTGTGTTGCTGTATGTATGTGTAGGCAGTGTGTAGTTTTGGATATATTGCGACATGGCGCTCTAGTAACCAAAAATACGGACCAGATTGGTTTTGAACTTGACTTAGGTAGTAGCCAAGCGTACATAACTCCCAAGAATTCTCAACTCTTGATGGTTGCTGCCATGACTCCTTTTTAGAATTACAGCAGCAATATGCTAGGTGCCAGCAATTGAAACTACATGTATAGGAAAGGAAAGGACCAAGGGACTGCAAGTTACGCTCTAATGTCCACTAATACCACCAGTTACTGGACAATCAGCTCATGCGATAACATTGCACGACACTGACCAACGGTACTGACGTACTACGATAACCTGTCAGTCAGCTCTAGCACATCTTGGAGCGTAACTTGTAGTTCCTTGGTCCTTTTCTTTCCTATAAAGTAATCCTTGGCTCTCTATCCGAGTCTATTAAATAAAAAGTATGTCTGATATTGGCACAGATAACACATGTATGTAATGTATGATGTGTACGTGTATGTACAGTCAACTTCGCTAATAACGACTGCGGATATAACGACAATTCGCGAATAGCGACAGAATTCCCATGCCCAGAGCAAAATCCCATCCCACTGTAATACATATAATGAGACTTCGGGTATAACGACACCTCGCAAATAAGGACACCTTTTTGATGCCCCGCCGAGTGTCGTTATAAGCAAAGTTGACTGTATGTGTGTTTCGCTTGTGCCAGGCCACCCGAAACTCTGTAAGCTGGTTGTGTTTCTCAACTCAACTGTACAGCTGGTTGTAACGGGGACGTTCGAACTTTACGTACATGCACACTTACTTTAAAAATATACCGGTATGTACTATGACTGTATGTACTATATGACTGTATGTGTTGTCTGCTGACAGGGTCTCCTCATGCTAAGTGAGTGGCAGAGTAGTGTTGCTATCGTGTTGAGCAGCGTTGAAACTATCTCTGGAGCAACGTAAGCACATGTTTAGTCATCATCGTGTGTGGGTGGGTGGGTGGTACGCGGGCGTGTGTGTGTGTGTGTACAGTAAGCGAATTACGCCTTTCAAACTTCGAATTATCAGCAGGAATCCCACTCATTTTCTATGTGAGCGGATTTGTTGAGGCTTCTAAATTCTAATTAGACACACATGCCCAGTTTGTGGTTCGAATCATTAGAAAATGATATGTGGGAGTCTTGTTGACTGTAGTAGACCCTGGAAGAAAGTTCTAAATCAAGCGGTGTGTTCGTCTTCAGCCGTATTCGATTTACGTGCATCAGGACTTCACCTGTACTTTGAATGTTCTTTTTTTCTTGTGATTTCTTTTACAGGAGGTCTACTGGTTCCTCAGCACCTGGCAACGCCACTGCTGCGGCTGGCCTCCGTAGCAATGATCAGAATGCTGGCGTGACTGTCAAGGGAATGGCTAACATCACTACTGCAACTGCTAGCAACCCAGCTGTCGGCAAACAGTACGGGCTTGTTGAACTGCTTCACCAGCATACTGGCCAGGCCGATCCTAGTACACCACAGCCCACCGCCTCTACATCCAAGCGGAAAGGCAAGAAAAAGCGAGCAGCTTCGAAGAAGGACTCTGTACCTGAGGTTAAGTCATCCACTGGTGTGTCACTGCAGGATGGCCAGCAGCCACATGTAGGCAGTCAGCATGCAAGTACTAATGCAGACGACGCACTGCTAGCTTCTGAAAGCCAAACAAGCCACGAGGTTGTTGACATAGCCAAGTCGGCTACAACCAGTACTGCTGGTGTACAATGTGAGGGGTGTGTTGATACGGGTGAAGCAAAACCAATGCATGATGCCTCGTGTACTGCCGTCGACATCTCCGGCCCGGGCCCTCTTGTTTCTGGCGCTGACACAAGTCGTAGAGGTAGTGAAGACAGCCTGCGCAGTCGTGCACACTCGTTTCACAATGCCAAGGCAGAGCAGCCAGCCAGCAGCGATGCCGTGCAGATTGACCTACGTCTGGACAGTGTTGGCGCGGTCCACGAAGACCTGTGCAGCTGCTCGCAGCCCTGGTTTCTTCATGCCACACTGCTGCTGTGCAACCAGGCCGGTCTAGCCATGCACGGACTGGCGTCGGATAGTCTGAAAACTGAACATGCTGGCCGTGCCCTGCGCTACCTGAACATTGCCGCAGCTTGCTTTCGTAAGTTCTGTATACTACTGTGCTATCTGTACTGCTCCTCTGTCTCAGCATGCCTTCGTAAGTACCCCGCTTCACTGTCTCATCACGCTCAGCCATCGGTCTGAACGGTCTTTTCTTTGAGTCTTTGCCTGAACAAGATTGGCGCCAAGGCAGCAGATGACCATTCCTATGTTGTGTAAAACAAACACTTTGTAGTACGTTCACACGTAGATGTGTCCATACTCTTGCGTAGTCAACCCAGTAAACATGTACGTGTATTGGGCTAAGCAATGTAAGCATATTGCCACTGTGTGGTTCATAATCAGCACACACGATGATTGCATGCTGTTTTGTTGTGTGCGATGATTTGTTGATTTTACAGAGGTTGGAGAGCGACTTTTACAGCACCTGTGTTCATTCAAATGCCCAGAAGCTGCCAAAATCACCAGCTTTTCAGCCAACGCCATTGCTGTCATGGCCTTGAAAGTCCAAGCATTTGATGCATTGAGAAATAAGGTGAGTTGAAAGGTGTCAGATCACGACAAGTGAGTCTGGACAGTATTGCAGAGTTGGGAGTGGTTTACCTAGCATGGGTTACGCCCGCTTTGAAAGGACTGCTGGAGGTAGTTTCTAAGATTGTTGCAAATGTGACAGTTCCTCAGCCAATCCATGTGAGCATGCAGAATCACAAGTGCAGAACACTGAGACAGGGAAAACCCCCATCTTGGGCAGTAAGTTTCCATGGTTGTTGGGGCAGGGACACCCCCTGCGGTAGAAGTATGTAGTCAGGTGCATGTGTTTAGTGACCATGCCGTCATTAACCATTTCACTCTCTTGTATGTTAACATGTGTCTTTGCTTCTTCTGTGTATGGGCAGGGTCCGGATGTAACCCCATTGTCTTTTGAACGCCATGCTGTAAGTAAAAGCAATGGGAACAAAATGTAATAATTATGTTTGCTTTTTGCAGGCTGTCGAAAGACTATGCATTATGTCTGTGCTTGCCTTCCAGATTTTCTCAAAAACTTCTCCTCTAAACTTCTTCTGACTTTAATGAAGATCTTCTCAAAACTTCTCCTCAAAACTTCTTCTGACTTAGAGATCTTCCTCAAAACCTTCTCCTGACTTGAAGATCTTGTCACTGGAATAGATACTACTGGTGCTGGGCGGTTTCTAAGTCCCCAAACACTTGTATGGCTGGGGAAGTTGCTCACTATGTGGGCAGTAGTCTTTCATCCTTTGTGTATATCTCGGTGTGCGCGCGCACGCACACACCTTTGGACCTTTGGATGCCCATTGCTCCGTGCAATGATAGCATCAGGAGTTGCAGTATTTCCTGTGGCGAGTTAGATCGTTGGGCCGACGGAAGTCCCTGCCACAGCCTCAAATGAACACTCTAGGCTTTGGCACAGCCGGCCGGGGACGACTGCACATGAGGCGCCAGTCTCGTCTCCACACACACACACACACACACACACACACACACACACACACACACACACACACACACACACACACACACACACATGATGCCGAACCTGGTATCAATTTAAAAAAATCTCATAAAGCCAGAAAATAAGCCAGGCCCGTGCACACCCTACCCGAGTGCTCAACGTAGCAAAACACGGTGAACTACACACAGCTCAGAAGTGTACTAGTAGGCATTTCACCAGTCACACATGTACACTGTATACTGACTGATTTATTCCTGCCTGTCTCGGTCCACAGGAAGAGTATGCTGCTCAGGCATGTGGTGATAGATTGACAGCCTGGCTGAAACAGGTCTTGCCCAACCAATGTGAGTGCTCCTACTACTGCTGCTGCTCCTTCTGCTGCTGAGCCTTCACTGTGCTGCTTGCCGTTAATGCTGCTGCTAAAGTGTGGACATCAAGTCAACTTGAAGCCGAACATTACCGAGACTTTTCGGCGTTACCTTGTGTGTTTGGTTTATGTTGAGTACTGTTGCTGTTTGTTTGTTTGTTTACTTGCTTGCTTGCCTGTGGATTTGTTTTTGTATTGTTGGTGACAGCCTGCTTCCACCCGGTTGTACTTACCAATGATGCTGACATTCTCGGCAAGGAGATGTAAGTGGTCTGGACGGTGGTGACCTGGTTGTGTATTTTGTGACCTACACTGCATGTACTTCAAAAGCACGTCACAGTTCAGGGCAATGGCCTATTTCTTTCTCGACTGGCATGAGCTAGCTGCTGGTATGTGTAGCTGGTCAACACTCACTGATGACAAGAAAATCTTTAGTGGTTCGACAGGCTGCTTGTCGCGCACTAACCTCAAGTTGCAATTTTTGGTGTATACCGCATTTGCAATCAAGCTCTCCATACTTCATAATTGTGTACACTGTGAAGTGTAAAATGTACTTCAGTATGTGCATGTGCTGTATGTAGTAGGTGTAAGCTGTTACGATATGTGTTCTGTGTTGTTGTTCTTCTTCTTGCAGACACGATGTGTGTTGCAGTCTGATGCAAGTTGGTCTGGACATTCCCAGTGGTCTGGTAAGTCATGTCATGCACTCTTGTCTTTTCTGATGTTGCACCACTGTAGCTGTCACCAAGAGTACGTAACCCCCAAGAGTATGCAACTTCAGCGGTGGGGTCTGCGACGGCAGAACTCCACATCACTTGACGAACCCGTACCCATTGTTTGCACCCTGTGCATGATAGACACAGGGTTGTACGCAACCCTGCTTTGGGTTCAACTCTCTTGTGGTCACTTTGCACTGTTCGCCAGAGTAACCTTTTGAACCATGTCACGTGATGTGAAGTTCTGCCGTCGGCCCGTCGCAGCACTGTATAGAGATTGTGCAGGTAGTTGCACACTTTCGGGGGTTGTGTACTCTTGCTGTCACATGTGATAGCAAGGCTCACTGGCCTGGTTTCTACCCTGGATAGGTCTGGGCTCTAGCAAACCAGCCATATCTCCTGCACAGACGCACTGCTTGCTGACCATGCATGGTTGTATCTGTGCAGATCCTGTATGAATAACTGTCTTGCCATGCGCTACTGAAGAGTATAGGGAGCCGAGTGGCTACGCAGCATGCTGAAGTGGCCTGGGTTGGTATGGTATCACCGGTTTACCATGGAATCTGCTTTCTTTCTACGCTGCTGCAGGCAAGAACGTGTGTGTGCTTTGCTGCTCAAGCGTGCCATGATGTCAGCATGAATGAAATGAGTAAAATCAGTGGCTTCCTTGTACAGGCAACCCTCGGTAAGTGCTGAACCCTGCTTTGGTCTTGTTGGTGACATTTGTTCAGGCAATATATGTGTTACTTTCTTCTCAAGTGTTGTATAGCCTTATGCTATCAGCCTGGTCTCAACTGACACTGCTATTCACCCAAAATCCTTTTTTATTGACTCAACAATTTGGCCTATGACCACATCTTACTTCTTTCAGAAAGAAGAGTATGCTAGGAGGGTTTCTTTTTTACTTCCATCGTGCTTTCCTGTCCACTGTTGCCCTCACACCATGCACTGCCATGGGCAAATATTTGCAGGGGACGCACTTTCTCGTTCAGTTCGCAACGAAGAATCACCATTTCGATGCCGCTGATTTCAACAGTCCCTGTGAGACATACAGGCCAATGGCTGTTCCCTGTTGTACATGCAAGCATTGCTCTAACCATTGTAGATCAATCCGCTGCTGGAGAAACCATTGTTGATCAAACCATTGTTTTGGAAAACATCAACAAATCAGCCCACTCTTTGTCCCTACTTCTCACTTGCCTGCCTGTTGCATGTGACATGATGTATGTGACTTGGCGTATGTGGCTTGTAACTTGTTGTTTGTAGGCGAGGCTCAGAATGACCATGATGCTGTAACACAAAACCTAAGTGTTGCAAGACTGACATCGTCTTCAGCAGATATGTCCTCGCTACAAACTGTAGCTGATGCACTCGAACGGGTGGAGAAATTGTAAGTGTGCGCCCATGTTTACGTTCGTATGTGCAACATTGTGCATACACGCGTGTGTGTGTACGTGCCTGTAAGCGTGCGTAGTGGAAACCCGGCATAAGGAAGCTCTGCACATTGTCGTACTGGGCACTGTGAACGGAGAAAGAATTCTACCGTGTACTTGTATCATATGGCTTTCATATCACATACCAGTATACACGTGATGTGCTTTCAAGTTATTTCTCTTGCATTTGTGTATGTGACTGCGTGAAGTCAATATAAAATGTTGTGTTGTATCTCCTTGACGCAGGAAGGAAAGAATGAACGGCAATGGTATGCTCCATCCTCGTGTAGAGCTACCAAAATTTTGAACGAGTGCGGTGCGTGTGCATGTGTGTGTGTGTCTGTGTGTCTGTGTCTGTCTGTGTCTGTGTGTGTCTGTGTTTATGTGCTGGGTTAATGTGCTGGGTTAATGTGCTGTGTTAATGGGCTGTGTTTATCATGTGTGTCTTTCACTGCTGTAGTGACCAGGCAGTAGCATGCCGCCGCAACATGGCACACTGCGTCTTCCTGAGAAGTGTGGTGGAGTATCCATCGTTCTTCCTCTACTTGCCCAGCCACTATCAATCACTTGCGTTAGCTGATCAGCAAACCCAGTACAAACATGTTCTAGATCTCATGTCAGTGGTAAGTACTACACAGTACACAGTACACCGTACATGTACATACTGTCCAATGCTAGACTACACATGCTTGTTGTCATATATAGCAGTGAGGGAAATCAAAACTTGCTCCAGGCAGTGAGAGGTAGGAATGAGGGGAAATACATGTTTCATCTTGAAAACGAGCGGCAGAAACGCAGTGGTTCTAAAATCAAGGTAACACCTTACAAGTGGATTGTTCATGCCTGCCCGGTTAGCATAGAATATTTGTGCCAGGGAGCATGGCTTCATATTACGATTTTGTGGGTATGACTCGAATGTTTGGGTGAAAATGAATGGTTGGGGTATAAACCGCAATGGCGAATTTGGCCTCATCTTTCATTAACAAAGAACAAGGTGCGACTCTTACCCAGGAAATCCGGTGAGTGGGTGAATATCGTGATGGCGTTCTAGTGTGCTGGATGAGATACTGTCTGCTTGTGTGAAATCGTCTGTACACCCAGCTGCTTGCTTGTTCGAAATCCTCTGTACACCCGGCTGTTTGCTTTGAAGTATTCTGTGTGTACATACTAGCATGTTTTCATTCAACTGCTTCTACCGGTATCTGTGACATTATTGTATACTGTTGTGTGTATGTGTTAGGAACAATGCCAACATGAGAAAGGTCTGAGTGTGTTCAATGTCATCAAGTCAAGTGCTCCTAAGGTATGGTGCCATGGTTCTCCTGTGGTGTTCAAGCTGTCACAACTGTTGTTGTTGTTGTTGTTGTTGTTGTTGTTGTTGTTGTTGTTGTTGTTGTTGTTGTTGTTGTTGTTGTTGTTGTTGTTGTTGTTGTTGTTGTTTGAATTCTTTATTCTCACGTTGGCACCATCGCCAATAAGAGATGTTGTTGTTGTTGTTGTTGTTGTTGTTGTTGTTGTTGTTGTTGTTGTTGTTGTTGTTGTTGTTGTTGTTGTTGTTGTTGTTGTTGTTGTTGTTGTTGTTGTTGTTGTTGTTGTTGTTGTTTTTGTTGTTGTTGTTATTGTTGTTACTGCGGTTTGTTGTGTCCTCGTTCTAATAGCCCGGGTCTGTAATTATAAACAGATAGCAGATAACAGTTGTATGTGGAAACTTGACACCATACGTACAGCTGTGCTGGTCTTGATGCTGGTCTTGTGTTTCTAGTAGAATTTGTCACTCTCACTGCCAACTTGTCTGTGTCCATTCTGTTTTTGGCTTTCCTTGCAGCAACTGCAGAGTCGACTTGTGTTCAGCAATCTTTTCATTCTGCTCTGCAAAGCTTGCTTCATGGTCTCGCATAAGATGCTGGGAACAGTGGTAAGAAAGATGTATCATGCCATGCAGCAAACAATAACTGCTCACAACAAAAATGTGGCCAGCCCAAATTTCTTTCCTCGCCCCAACGGTACACTGTACATGTACCAGCTTTCTTCCTGTCTTACAACGTACATGTCTAATGTCGATGGTGGTTGTGTACAGCTCTTTCATTATAGCGAGTAGAGCTAGAGCTCTGCTCTGCTTCTGATCTCGTTTAGCGTTTGGTGGGAGTTCATTCTGTACTGTATCTTCTGTGTGTACGCAGGCTGTGGACTTTGAGCCAGTCATGAACCTGCTTCACTCTGTTGATGAGAAGATCAAACAAGCTTTCAAACTCTCCAGTCTGGACTTGATCAGCAAGTAAGTGTGTGTGCTGCAGTGTTTGCGGCCGCACTTGTCAGTCTTTTTTTAATTTTTTATTTGTGTGCTTTGCTATGTGATGCAGTTGTGTACATGTAGTGTGCCCATCATCTCGATTACTTGTCTTGCCTAGTGTCGCCATGTACTTTGCACACCTTAGCAGGCTGCCAACCAACTCTTGTTGTAGGTAGATCTCAGATTACTTTCCCTCCAAGCTACTCCCCAATTGATCTGTTGTGAGTACATTTTTTTTAAACCCGGCATCCAACCTCCAAGCTGTATAATGTGCATCACTGTGTTCGTGCTGTATTGGTGCAGTGTGACTGCTCACGCAAGTAATACGGCGACTTGGCTGTAGTGTTGTGAGCCTAAGCTTCATTTTGTGTGTGTGTGTGTGTGTGTGTCTGTGTGTCTGTGTGTCTGTGTGTATGCATGCACCTGTGCGCCTGTGTATGGTATGTAACATTATTTGTTTGCAGGGCGCAGTTGGACATGGCTACTTGCCTGGTTCATCTAAGTCGAGCAGCATTCATATTGGAGACGCTACGGGAAATGAGTGATCCGACACAAGCACCAGCAAGAAGGGTGAGCAGCTCTTAAAGTTTGGTTTTACCTTGAAGTTCCCCTGTAGGTTACAGCCTTAGCCAGTACAGCCTTCGCCAGTACAGCAGCAGCAGCAGCAGCAGCCTATTGCCAAAACACCATGAACAGTGCACTCCGGTATTCATGTTTAGCGTGGATGAATTGTGTGAATTGTGTGAATTGTGTGACTTACATTCTGACTAGTAACATTTGTTTTCTTTGCCGATCTCTGTCCTGTCACTATCCAGAAATCACCGGATTTTCTGAAGGCCAAGTTCATGAGCAATCTGAATAATGCTAAAGAGCATGCAGATCTGGTGAGTACAGTATCCTATTCTGTCGAGTGTTGTAACTTTTAGTGAGTGCAAGGTACATTGTTAGTGAGTGCAAGGTACATTGTGTACTGTACTCTAGTCTGTAGTACATGTACCATACTTTCCCGAGTGCATGTATATAAAGCCGCTCTGGAGCCGCACCCAGATTTTTGTCACAAAGTACAGACAACTACCCTGTTAATTTGTACGTGTACTTGCTGACTGTATATTATCTGGTCACGTTGGTGGACATTGGTGGACAGTTGGACATAACTCGTAACGTGTTGTCCTTTTTATTTATTTTCTCTACCCTGTTTATCACTGTTAATTTGACCATCGTAGAATATGCCGCACAGACTTGTTTTGGGTGAATTACTGGTGTATATATTGACCTTTGATAAATACCCACACTCATTAGTGACCACACCATCAACAGTATCAAATTCAAATAAACTTGCTTGACTCAATAAATACCACTGTACTTTTCCATGCAGCACAGCACTTTTTGTTCAGTATTTATTGGCCTTAGTGGTATTTTATAAACAGTATTTATTGGCTTTTGGGCCAATAAATACTGTTTCTAAAATACCACTAAGGCCAATAAATACTGTTTATAAAATACTCCTTTTTAGGGAAAGCGAAGGTCAACATAGGTATACTTAAAAGGCGGCTTATACTCCGGAAAACACGGTACCTACCCCTAATGCCGTGTATTATACTTAAATATAGCCGGGCTTATTTCTGTAGAAGCCGATGCCAGGGCTAGGCTTCTATTCAAACCAGGTATTTCTATGTGTGTCAACACTAAAACCAGGCTTAAGTGCCGACAGTGTCTTGAAACTCAGGCTTGTATTCAAAATAGGCTTCTATATGAGAAAGGCTTTAATACAAGACACTACGGTACACTGTACGATGTGCAATTCTGGCACCTGTGTTAGCGTAGTATTAGCATATAGTGATAAGTTTATGAACTCAAGGCAATGTCTCTGGTTGGATGTAGGTAGTTCAAGCGCCTGTTTGACTGCCTTTGGAATGTGTTTAAATGTGCGTTGTGTGTTGTGATGATCAAGGTGTTGCTTAGAACACCCGTTTTTTTTTTTTGGGGGGGGGGGTTGCTTCATGCTCATTGTGCCTCGTGCTCTTGGTATTCCTGGTGAGCTTTTTACTTCTGTGTGTATGCGGTGTCCTGTGTATGCTGTGTTCTGTGCTGCCTTGTGTCCTGTGTATGCGATGTGAACAGCACAACGATGCTCACATCAATGTGGTGCTGGTCCGTGTCCGGCTGGACTTCCTCTACCTTAGCCTCAGTAAGTGCTGTACAAGTACTGTTGTGCCAAACTGTAGACTACCGGTATGTCTGATGTACCCCAGTTACACCAGTTACACCATGTGGTGACTCATGTAAAGAAGCATAAAGCAGATTGAAACCGGCTTTCATCAGTCATACCATTCTCCAGCCGCTCTATCGTTTGTAATTGAAGGAGCATCAAAGAATGCCGACATCCACAAACACTGTGCAAACACAACTGCATACTGGGCACTCATAATCATCATACGCCAAAAAAATGGGGGGGGGGGGGTTGTACACTAGGCCGGAGGGAGGGAGGAAGTGAGTGTGTTGGTGTGTGTGTGTGTGTGTGTGTGTGTGTGTGTGTGTGTGTGTGTGTGTGTGTGTGTCCCATATGGTGCAGTGGTATATGCAGCGATTTCCAATCGATAGGGTGTGGGTTCGATTCCCAACGATTATGGTCACACACGTCTTTCTTCTCTTTCTCAGACTCCTCCTGACTTTTCTTTCATTCTCCTGGGTGGTTACCAACAGCCAGTGCATGCCGGAGTATGTGGTGTGATGTGTGTGCGGGAAAAAAAGAAAAGAAAAAATGAAAAAGACCAAAAAGGAGGGATTCACTGGCCAGAAAAAGCCACTTCATAGCTGTGTGGTGTAGACCAGGCTGAATAGTGGCGGTCAATTCTTCAGCCTTGCAAGCTGTTGAATGGTGCAATCCCAGCACAAGCTGCTTTGGCTCCTGCTGTAGCATTGCTATCATCGCCTCCGGCGATGGGCGTCAAATGGTCAAATGGTCAAACGGTGTGTGTGTGTGTGTGTGTGTGCCAGCTAGTTCGGTTGGTAGGTACACTTATGCCTGATTGTGTTGGGTCTGTTTCGGCTGCTTGAAGGTGTAATGTTGTACCTGCCACCTTTGTTGGTTCCAGGGTTCATATACTTTCTATTTGAAGTATACATACCTGTTAACCATGGACTGCTTCTGGCTAGATTAACTCTTGTGTAATCAATGGTGCTAGTGAAGCTTTCATCAGATCCACTTTGATTTAGCCACTCACACTAGTAGCAAATATTACCTTCACTGGGGGCAGGGGTAACTGCAGTTGGATCCCGGGACGGATACCTGATGCCGTCAATCCTTTTTCTGCACCTTGTCCTCACCCACTTACTGAGGTGTGGTGAGCCCATAAGTGGGATCATTTTTCAAGTCCACCCAGAGTTTTGGGGATTTCAGGGGGTGTCGGCCGTTGGGCGGTTCAATAACCAATTGAGTCATCTTTCCAAGATTCCTTTTGAGTCTCTCTCCCCTCTCCCGGGGGGACTCACGTGACCAGTTTTGGCAGTGAGCAACAAGTACAGTACAAGTACAGTGTGTGTGTGTGTGTGTGTGTGTGTGTGTGTGTGTGTGTGTGTGTGTGTGTGTGTGTGTGTGTGTGTGTGCGTGTGCGTGTGCGTGTAGTGTGCATGAAGTAGGATATGAGATGTTCCTTTTTGCAGTTGTGGCAACCACCGAATTAGTTCGCATATAAAACTGCAATGTGCTGTCACAGTGGATTGAGACTGCAGAGGATCAGTGAGGCCCTAAAGCGGGATTCACAGAAGCGTTTTTGCAATGCGATGCACGATGCGACGACCGCAAAACTGGGAAATCCCCCAAATCGCACCCACTGCGCAGCTAGTGCAACCGTCGCAACTGGCTGGTCGCAGTTGCCACCACTTTAGTTGCTGTTTGTTGAAGAGATTTGAGACCATTGCATGCCCTCCCCCTTCCTTCCCTGCCTTGACGTAATGGTGTACCTCTTCTGTTGTACTCCTAAATACGAAGGAGTTGTGGTGATGTGGTGCTGTTCTTCTTCTCTCCTACTTCATTTTATCCAGAGAGTGAGAAGCACACTGCAGACTCTGCCTACTCTCAGCTATTCAATATGGTGGGGACGTGTGTGTCTCTGCAAGGGCCCGCGCAGTCCAGCTTAGATCATTTCAAGAAAACACCGGGTGCCGATGGTAAGCCTTCCAGCATGCACACTGTGGTAGTGAATGCATCATACGGGGAAACATCGATGGGTGCACACTGTGGTAGTGAATGCATCATACGGGGAAACATCGATGGGTGCACACTGTGGTAGTGAATGCATCATACGGGGAAACATCGATGGGCAGATGGGCACAATCATGCTGTACTTACTACAGTACCTGCTAGCAGCATTGCTCTTTCTTCTTTCATACAGGCTTCTTGTACATGCAACTGTCAGCAAATCTTTCCAGACACTAGTCACACTGTTCTCTGGCAGATGATTGGTTAGGGATTGCGTCAAATGTGCATACTGTACCTCTCTGCCTATTCCATTTGTGGCATAATTATGTAGTGTTGAAACGATCTCACCGGGTACTCGTTAGCTCGCTTGCCAGAAACTCGGCTCGTTTGTGCGGCCAGCTCGTTTGCACTAACGAACACCATACACCGTTATCCGTACACATGGCAGTACAAGTCGAGCGGGGAGTCGGAAATTTTTTTTACGACTCCCTGGTCGATCGAGAGTCCAGTCCCGCGCAAAGTGAAAATCACTCCCAGTTACAGTGACTGCATGCCGCCTGCACGACACTGAGTTGTTTCAGTTGTCGTTGCAGCTTTGGTGGACTCCACTGATGTCTTGTTCCGCATCTGCTGACCTGCTGCAGGGCAAACTAATGTTACTTCTGTCAACTCTCCATGCGAGTGAAAGTTACGTTTGGAAGTTTTCTCCCGCGATGCAGCGAAGAACAGGGCTACAGTGTTTGCAAAACGGTCTATTCTTACAAAGGCTGCTCAACGACGGCGCTGAAAAGACATATCGACACCAAACAGCAGTCCGAAGTGAAGCAGCAGCATCCCCAAACGCCAGCGGTGATAATTAAATTTTGGACCAGCTGAATTGAAAAAAATCGAACTTAGGAAAAAAATATTTAAAAAATCATTATTTGCCACATCAATGAAACTCGTTAGCTCGCTCGATAGCTTGCTCGTTAGTGGAACTGATCGCTCGTTTGTTATAGATACGCTCGTTTCAACACTGTGATTATGTATCTGGGGTTTAACTTTCATTCCTTGTTTTAGTGAACTAGGAAAGGATAGCAAGCAAGGTAGCAGTGAAACATACACCCTGAAGGAAGGTGCATGATACTTCTAGCAGTGTTGTGACTGCATATCAATTAATTAACCCCTGTTGTACGTTTATGCAATACACTGGGTGCATCCTTGCAGCGCCTGTGCGCTACATAGCATGAGCTGTTGCCGTCAGGTACACTGTGCTCAGGGTAAACGTATTCCCGGTTTTCAGCCCAGCGCTATACTTATTACTCTTATAGAAATGAGGAGTAGAAGTGAGGAATGCAGCGTTTGAAATTGTATGCCTGGTTTGTTCCCTCTGCCTGTCTTCTACTGATGTCATCTATGTATTGTATTCTGTACTCTGCTGGGGGGGGGGGGGGGTGTTTGCAGGTGCTGGTGTGGACTCACTGCTGTGTCTGCAGGGCTGTGATGGCCGCGCCGGCCTGCTGGCGTTCCTCAGCGTCGCCCACCTGAGCAAGAAGTGCCGGCATTCTCGCATGCAGTCCATCCTGTGTGATTTCAACGACGTGCACGTGTGTCTTCTGGACGTACTGCAGAAGCTGGCACGTATTCAATCACGCAAGTAAGTACATGACATTGTATGCACTAGTGCATGGCTACTCCGCATGCCGCAATGTCATCATGTGCAGAATAGAGCAGAAGAATACTAGAAATACAACGGAACCTCTCTTATCTGGACCTCCTATATCTGGACCTCTCTTATCCGAACCTCCCGTATCTGGACCTCCCGTAGTTTGGTACCTCCCCAACTGGCTGCACCTTGCAGGCAGGTGTGCGCAGTCAAACCTTGAAAACGCCTTCCTTTTCGTGGCGGTCAACTGACCGACCTCATCACACCTGAAAAGGTCACAACACGCAGATCCTATTGTGAATACTTGTGAGTGCTTGTGAATGGTATCAATAGTAGCTCGGTGAGCCCATTTGAAGAGACTATTGTGTCGTAACCATTATGGATGTACAGTCCATTTCAAAACTATAGACGCGTACCTAGGCAAAAACCGTTATGCCAGCATCTATACCACATAAAATCTGTGATCACTTTGTGCATAAATTTTTCCAAATTGGGCGTCTGTTATCCAATCGTTTAGAAACTATATGAGAGTAATTGTGGAGCGGTCCTGAGCAATATTCCGAAAACTATTCTCAAAAAGTTCCAGCCAAATTTGAAATATTTCAAAAACCCTATGCGTCTATAGTTTTGAAATGGACTGTAGTGTACTTCCGAGCTAGAGACAATTCTGAGATACGGGATCACTTTGGCCCCCGAAGTCCCCGGATAAGATAGGGCACCCTTTGGTCCCCGAAGTGCCCGGATAAGATAGGGCACCCTTTGGCCCCCGACGTGCTCGGATAAGATAGGGCACCCTTTGGTCCCTGAAGTACCCGGATAAGATAGGGCACCCTTTGGTCCCCGAAGTACCCGGATAAGATAGGGCACCCTTTGGTCCCCGAAGTGCCCGGATAAGATAGGGCACCCTTTGGTCCCTGAAGTACCCGGATAAGATAGGGCACCCTTTGGTCCCCGAAGTACCCGGATAAGATAGGGCACGCTTTGGTCCCCGAAGTACCCGGGTAAGATAGGGCACCCTTTGGTCCCCGAAGTGCCCGGCTAAGATAGGGCACCCTTTGGTCCCTGAAGTACCCGGATAAGATAGGGCACCCTTTGGTCCCTGAAGTACCAGGATAAGATAGGGCACCCTTTGGTCCCTGAAGTACCAGGATAAGATAGGGCACCCTTTCGTCCCCGAAGTGCCCGGATAACCAGAGGCTCTGCTGCATTTACTAGTATAACGCACACTGTTGTTTTCCCCGGCGGTGACGAAGGTGGTGCAATGTAATAGTAGATGACATGGTGGTGCAATGTAATAGTAGATGACGGAGGTGGTGCAATGTAATAGTAGATGACGGAGGTGGTGCAATGTACTAGTAGATGACGGAGGTGGTGCAATGTAATAGTAGATGACGGAGGTGGTGCAATGTAATAGTAGATGACGGAGGTGGTGCAATGTAATAGTAGATGACGGAGGTGGTGCAATGTAATAGTAGATGACGGAGGTGGTGCAATGTAATAGTAGATGACGGAGGTGGTGCAATGTAATAGTAGATGACGGAGGTGGTGCAATGTAATAGTAGATGTGTAATAGTAGACATTTATTGATTTATTTTTTGAAAAACGTAAAAATGTTTGGCACCTATGAAATCAGGGGATGGCCCACGCCTGGTAAAAAAAAACAAAAAACAAACAAACAAAAAAACAAAACAAAAACAACAATGAGGAGCTTCAGTGAGAAAAAGACAGTGATAAAGGACCATCAGTGAAAAGGTATAATAAGTTAGAAAAACAGAACGAGAACATGACTCAGTGGCCGATTCCAACGCCGGCACCGTCATGTACGGAGAGTTCCATAAGACGGCGACGGGAGCCTCGCAGACGTATATCCACGGCGCTGAAAATGGCGAACTGAGTGCGCACGCGTACCCAAGCCATCATGGCAGAGAAGGGCTTCTCCCATTTCGCTGCTAAGCGGCTGGCGAGACGCTTCTGGTACGCACTGTACTCGCGGTGGAGGACAGCATCAGTGGAACACACCAAAGGAGTAAAAGAGCCTCGTAGCTCTTCAGCGGCATGCTTGTACTTCCTCTTCTTCGCTGTAGCTGCTTTGTTGGCGGTGGCATTCCAGGACAGGCTGGCCTTGGCATAACTGGGTGCGTCAGCATCTACGATGCGGTTATCGAAAAACGCCACCCGGTTGCCTTCCCATACTCCGCGAGCGAGCCAGTCCGCTTGGAGCATAGGCCGACCATTCCTGTCCTGTTCCGGGGTGAGGATCGGCTCGATGGTGACGCCGCCGAAGGCAATGTCGGCAAGCTTGGCATCACTGTCACGGAGGTCGTTGTGGCCTCTCTTGACAAGGCCGCCCTTATGGCAGTCAAGGCCGTGCTGCAGGGTGAACGGGGCGCCAGATCCGTCACAGTGAGACGGAAGAGAGTTGGGCTGCCTGCCGTAGCGGATTGCCAGCTGATCCCGAAACTGGGTTGCGGACATGTCGTAGCCTTCCTGACGGAGCGGTAGGACGGTCAGCCAGCCGGAAGCATGTCCGTCGACGTTGCGGGAGAGAGTGCGCCGTTCTGTTTTGGGGAGGTCTTGAAGAAGATCCTTGCTGAGTGCCCCTGCTTGCTCGTCCCTTATCCGGCTTGCCTGACTCGTCGCTAGTTGGCAATGACGAGAATGGTCATTGATGACCACTGGCTGACCGGAGCAGATGGAGCGCGCCAGAGTCCGAGTAGCATCTTTCGACACTGCATGGGCACCCGGTGCTGTTTCGGTGGGGTCGGTGATGGCGATGCCACCGAACTTGGCAGGGAGGGTGAGTAGCTGATGTTCTCGCTCAAGGACCTCTCTACCCAGGACAGCAGGCGTGAACTGTTGCCGAATGATGTCACATAGCGGGGCGTACTCGGCTTCATGGCCTTCGACAACGCGGTGAATGTATGACCATTCGCAGGAGAGGGACCGTGTAAACGCGCAATAAGCTGCTTGTGGGTATGCTTTGGCAGCATCAGAGAGGTGTTCCACGCTCTTAACCCACGATGCAACTTTGTTGCTGACAAACTGCTGTACACCCGCTTCATCACCGATGCATCCTCCTAGGAATCGGCTGGATAGTGTGACTTCCACCTGGAGATCGCTGAAAAGGTCGTGTGCCTCCTGCAGGAACTGAGGTTTGACAATCAGGACACTCTTGGTGGGCTCAGCAAAGTAGCCATATGCTGGACCAATTTCGAGAAGGGAGCAAAGCCAGGCCCTTACCCTACGCAGATAGCCAGCGCAGGACGAATCGTCAGCATACCAATTCTGAATATGCTGTTCTGGATCTTTCAGCCGGGTGACAAGAGGTTGCACTCCAACTGCATACATCAGCATTGCCAATGGACAGCCTTGGGTGGTTCCCTCACGACTTAGAATGACATGGATATTGCTGGGGGTTGTTCCTTTGAGAATGATGACAGCGAAGCCTCGATACGAGTTGAATAGAAACCCGCTTGCGCGTGGCCAGAGTATGCGGCAGTTCCAGAGGGCAGCGGATCTGCTGATGGAGTTGAATGCATTAGAGGCATCCACGAGCAAGATGCCCTCCGTTTCCTCGCTGTTGAAGAGCTCGTTCATAGCGTGTACCGCGGCCTCGATGCCTGCCTTCGTACCAGCGCAGAGTTGATCGGCTCCACATACATCTTGCACATCAGTGCCTGTAGCGAGTGCCAATGCCTTGGCCTCAATTCGCTGGCGACATTCTCCTATGCCAATCGGGCGAACTCCGGGCTGTTTGTCAAGTGCGACTCCTCTCCGGGCAAGGAACGCTCTCATGGCATTCCAGGGTACGACTTCATTGGCATTAAGACGTGTTGAGGCTGCAATGGCTTCCCTCATGCGGGCACTGGCATTCCCATACCGCAAAAGAAAGGCCCTCCACTGCTCAGAATCCGTTCCACTGGGACCAGCACTACCAAATAGACGCCTTGCAACCTGTTCCACATGGGCACTGGTGGTGTTGACCTGCTCCAGCGGTGGCAGCTCATTGCATTCTAGGAACGCACTTGGGTCAGGGGTTCTTGGAGCTGGGTGTTTTTCCTGCAAAACATCATACACTGTTTTGCCTAGCGGGCCTGTCTTGCCATGTGCTTTGTCGGCTGGGTCCAGAACACCTCCACTACTCCGGTCGGTCACTAGTTGCACAGCCCGCCCCTCCAGCATTAGTCGGTTGAATGTCCTTTGAACTTGTTCATTGGACATTGGGCTCATGCTGGATTGCAGCTGGTTGTCGCACCGCTGGGCCTCGCGAAGCAGTTCGGCAAGGAGACCTGCCTCCCACATATCCATTCTCCTTGTCAGTAGCGGTCGGATATCCTTGCTCTTCTTTACCATCTTGTCTCGCTGCAGAACTACAGCGGTGAAGATGAACTCTCGTTCTGATGACTGTTGCTTTGCATTACACTTTTCGATTTCCTCGGCTAACATGTTGACAAACCGGGTACCAACGTTACTGTCCGGTAGTGCGTACTGTTTGCCACGCAGGGAGACAGCTTTCCACCAAATAGACCTGATATCAGAATCTGGTCCACCATCGCTATTGATCAGTGGGGCACCAAACGCCCTTTGGAACTTTCTGTCCAGGAACTCTGTGGTTGCTGACTCCTGACCTGCAGTGTGATCTGTGGTCTCCACATCATCCTGTTCACTGCCTCTGGAGCTGTCGTCCAGTACGGTACTAGCACTCAAATTCAAAACTGATGTCTGAGTGGAATTTTCCAACACAGGCTCGGTCTCCGACTCGTTGTGCCCCTGTGGCAGCTTTTCTCCTGCTACTTGTGATGACTGATTCGCTGGCTGTAGGACAGGGGCTTGCTGTGGCTGGTTCATGCAGCGACCCTTCTTGTTCGGGTGGCAGTTAGTACATTTACGACCGTTGGAAGCACAATCGCACCGAGTGCAAGAGCCATTTCCATTGCATTGGCAACATTTTCGGCTCGAAATGCGCTTGGCGAGTCGTTCTTGCTCCAGTCGAGTAGTAGATGTGTAATAGTAGATGTGTAATAGTAGATGGTGAAAATCACCTGCTACCATGCTGTCGTGACTTGCGGGGTACTTATTCACATATCTATTCACTTCCTGTGTTCTGTCTTCTTGCGAACAATAGAAATTGTGTGCACCGCAGTGAAATTAGCATGGACCTTCTTGGACGGCCAGTGTAAACGATTTCACTACATACATATGGGAACCGTTTCATGCATCATAGTACTCAAGCATATGGGCATGGGAGATATGAGTGTATGCTCACTGATGAATGTGTGCTAGTTTCTATCTGTCCCTACCTTTGGCCAGTTCACGTCCTATGTGACTACTGTGTGTGCGAAGAGCATTGCTTCTCTTCGCTTTACGCCTCCGGTCGACAAGCTGCATGCTGGACTCTCTGTGATATGCATGTTCTTCAAAGTAGGTTGCACCTCGCCAGGAGCTACAGTATAATTATGGTGTATTGCATGCATGTGTGTCTGTGTGTCTGTGTCTGTGCATGTGTTCTGTATGTCCGGTTTTGCCTCCTCCCCCCCCCCCCCCCTGCAGTGAAAATCGACGGGCAGAAGAGCCCGACTGGAAGCGCCTTTATGGCCGTGCTCTGAAGGGCCGCAGGATTTTTGATGGAGCAAATTTGGTGATTGAGAAGGTCACAGCGTTTCTGGAAGACTTCGTCAGCCTCCTCTCTGACTTGGCGAGTGAGATGGAAAGAGTTCTCAAGCGTCTTGGATCTTCTGCCTGAGTCATACATGTACATGGCTACGTGATAAGTTCATCTTGAAATGGAATGAAGCCGTGGGTATCATGCTTGCTGAGTGTGTGCATGTGTGTGTGTGTTTGTATGTGTGTGTGCGTGTGTGTGTGTGTGTGTATTTGTGCATGCATGTGTGTGTGTGTGTGCATGCGCGCGTGCGTGTGTGCGTGTGTGTGTGTGTGTACATGTGTGTACATGTGTGCATGTGCATGTGTTGTTTGCATACACCCATGCATGTAGCTTGGTCATGTCATTACCCACGGCGTAATCGGCAATTTAGCGCCTCAAATTTTATTTTCCTTATATTTTCATGTGCACAGGTCTATAGTATTTTCAAATCATTGTACTTCGAAGTAAAAATAGTTCTTACCATCGGTGGTGCCAACACTTACGTGTTCTCAACATGTCGATAGTTTTTTAGTCAGGCAAAAAGTCCCTAACTGATGCGCTGCTGCTGCTGCTGCTGCTGCTGCTGCTGGCACTGTTGTGTTTTCATCGGCGTGCAATGATTGTCATCAGCACTTTGCCAGGAGTTTAGAATTGCTTTTTTGTGTTCAAGATAATAATTATTAATTCCTATCCTACTGTGATATGAGGAGTGTTCCAGGTGACGATGGACCGGTTGGTTGCTTGATACACTGCATGGAGCATTCTCGCCAGGTATATCTGCTGTCAGTTGAAGCTGAAGTTGCAAACCACATGATGTTGAGCAGCTACAGTGTCCCCAGGCCGGCCGGTCGGTGTAAAGTTAGTGCACATCAGCTGGCGTAGGTCAGACGGTCAAGAGTACAGTCATGACCTCTAGAGGGGTTGTTATACTCTTGATACTGGCAAGAGTGTGCAACTGTGATCCATGCCCACTGCACGTCAAAAATCCTGATTTACATCATTGCTTTCCGCTGTGTGGCTGCACACTAAGCTGTACAGAAGTACCGTTGTCACCACTATGCATGTCTACCTTGTTGTAGTTGGGGGGGGGGGGGGGGGGGGTGGGGGTAGAGCGGAGATAGGCAGTGCAGCCCAAGGATCCCGAGGATTGGAACACTCAGTACTCAACGGAGTTAGGTACTTTTTGCTAGCTCACTTGACACGACTGCAAACAAAAGCATGCCCCACTCTTTCCAATTGTCATGCTTCCTTTTTTTTTTCTTTTTTTTTAGAGCGATAAAGCCTCTTGTACGGGCAAAATCAACACAATGATGGGAAACCAGGGTATGATAGGAAGATAACATTAAAAATAGTACACAGGTGTGGAAAATATGTCTCCGGAATGGCGAGAGTCACACTAAACTACACAAATGGATTTAGATCCGGCTTTCAACCACTGCCAGCTCCCTGAGCTCGTTAGCTGGACGTTCCTCTATGTTCATGTATGACTCTATGCCATGGGTGCGTGCTCTGGACACTAACTGCATGGTGACAACACAATTTAATAGTGCAACTCCAGTATGGGTGCTATCCCGACCGGAATTCAAGCTGACGTCATTTGTATGATGCAATGCACACATGTTATCAGACGTATCCTGGTCTTGCGGTGTATCCTGGACTTGTGGTGGACGAATCCTCATTTTATCCAGTGTACAAACTCGTGTAAGGAAACACGTGTGGTATGTTGACGCTCCGTACAAACGTTGTAAAATCACTCGTGCGTGAGAGCATTGCAGCACAAACATGACGTCAACTTGAAATTCTGTCGGGACAGCAGGGTAGGTGGGAGTTGCACACTCCGGGGGGGGGGGGGGGGGGCAGCTGCCGCCACACCCAGGGTTCTGCCAACCGTGGATGGTTGTAGTGAGGTCATTGTTTCCGAACACAGTGGTCCTCCACCTTGCAACAACATGCCGTCAACCAACACCACCACATGCACATGAGCTTGTATAATTGTACATGATCAAGGAGTTGTACAAACCCGGGTACAATCCCCTGGACCAGGTACAACGGGTTTACACCCTGCAAGAAGTTGCCCGATGTTGTGTCCCAAGTGTACAGCTAGCACGCACCTGTCGTCATCCATATACAATCACAGTCTGTGATTGTACATGGATGCAAGCAACCTTGGACGGGTAGTTTGTGCTGTTGACTACTTAGGCCACTGTCGCCACGCCACACTGCAAATGGAGGACTCACTCAGTTCGAAGGCATAGTGTGGTTATACAATCATGTAGATGGTGTTAGTGACAATCAGGAGCACCTCCCCGGAACCAAAACAAAACAGAAAATAACAGTATTAAAAAAGAAAAGAAAAGATGTTGCATTGATCACAGAGAAGGAGAATAAACAGGACTGTAATGGGGTGCGTCCGGATTACCTGTTACCTGCGCAGCATAGAAAATCAAGATAATACAGTCAGCCATGTTAGTTGAGGGGAGTATATCACACTCAGGACATTGTCTTTGAAAGAAAACATCATACTTGCGAGATATGAAACATGTAGGCCTAAGAAAGCGAGAAAGCACTACTACCAAGAGTACATAATTATGTACTCTTGCTACTACTAGCCACAGTACTAGTAGTCAAGGATCTCCCAAATCATCGATCAAGACTACTTCAAGTAAGTTTTATGACAAGCAGGAATGGTATGAAATGTCATTTGTGTGCATTTGTGTAAATACATGTTATCGTGGCGATGAAATTGATGGAACACAACTGGGAACACAGATAGAGAAATAGAAATATGCACAAGGCAATACAGGGAGAAGAAATAAAGCATCAAAACTAGCTTTGAATGAAAATATCATATTGCCAAATAAACTCAGCGGGGTGAATAACGAAAATAGACCATTTCAATCCAGTTTAGCGACTGCTCCTTTGTAACATGGCCTGCTTGGGCCTGTGAATAATCACTTGAATATGTATTTCGTTTTGAATTGCTAGTAAGACTCCACTATGCATTCTGATAGAAAAGCGACTCAGCCGGGCTGTACAGAACAAAGCTGGAGGCTGACGGGGGGACGAACTTAGCACACAAGTTGGCCACGTAGTCGATGCAGTTGAAATGGTGGCACCCGGTGCAGAACTCACTGCTCTGGATGAGGGAGAAGAAGAGAAGGAGAGTGATGATGAAGATGACCAGTAATGTGAAGGAGACACCCGCGATAATACGCTTGCGACGAATAGCCCATTTGCCAAAGGACACATATGGCAACAGCAGGACAGACATGAGTAGCCCAAAGACGAAGCCCGCCAGATGAGCAAAGTTATTGAGACCGGGAAGCGTACCGATGATAAACACTACTATCAAATAGAAGCATAGACTGGTGAACTCGTTAACAGGATCCTTCAACAGCGACCACATGTTGAAGAGCTCCACAAAGAGTACAGCCAGCAAGCCACATAGCGCTCCGCTTGCACCCGTCATGATTTGGTACGGGTTGGCATAGCCAGCAGCCTAGGTCAACACGAAAACACGAGAACACACACACACACACACACACACACACACACACACACACACACGCACGCACACACACACACACACACACACACACACACACACACACACAAAATCAGAAAAAAGCCGCGAGTCCGAGACATCTGCCACTCGTTCACAGGCCATGAGCCCTTGTGCTACGATCACTTGGCCGACTTCGTCCATAGAGCACAGCATCTAAGAAAGTGTGCACGGATATAACAGCTGACTGAGACCACTGACTACTGGATTATCATGTGCTTACAAGAAAGCTACGTGCTACCCCTAGTGAAATTGAAGTCACGCCAGCCACCGCGTGTGACTCCTTCTGGAGTGTAGGCAAAGCTGGGCCATTCTCACCAGCACTAGCATACAGGTAGCCTTGATATTAACAAATGAAAGAGGTGCGCTATGCCCTGCCCAGTGCTATCAGTCACATGAAAAGGCAGGCAGAAGTCACCCAAGCTAGTACATAGTACACACTGGGTGAAGCGGTGTGGGCAAGCCTTCGTGAATCTAAACCGGAAAGTGATCACATAAAATGTATTTTCATTGCAAGCATCACCACTATGTACTAACCACTATGTACTAACCACTATGTACTAAGTTTGTTGTATGAAAATCCTAGCGGAGGCACATGCACATACAGTGTACAGAGAACTTACCACATTGCTCATCATTCCCGAAACTATGTAGATCAAGCCGATGCGAAGCCAGCCTGCTGAGCGCTCAATACGCCGACCAATGTAGAGCTGCAGAGGAGAAGGGGGCATGACATTGGGAAGTACAGCCCGTACGTTATTGCAGCAGAATTCTACTCCTATCACCAGTCAGTACAACCACCCTGCACCCGTGCACTCTCTGTCTTTCGTCTCTCTCCCCGAGGTTGCTACTATTGTCAGATAGCCAGGGCAGCTGTACCTGCTACTGCCATGCATCACACATGTATCACGCATGTAGCACTCATGCATAATGCATGAATGCACACACACACGCACGCACACGCACCCACACCCACACCCACACACACACACACATACGAGCACACCTACAATCCCACCAGAGCGTCCCGTCACTTAGAGCCCTTCCGTGAGGTGAGGCGGCTGGGAGAACACCCTTAAGTTCTGTGCAACGCAACACTGGGCTACTCACGTCGTACTTACTCTAATTTCAGAAATTTTAGGTGCTCAATATTTTCGGCATGAGGGCAAAAGGCCAGGTTAGGTGAACAGAAATTTTAGGTACAGAGAAGCAGTTCCCTATTGGATTATGCGTGTTGGTGTTTGTTCGGTGAATTGAAATTTTAGATATGAAACAGAACAACAAAGGCAATCAAGGCTTGTTTGTCACTGCTCAAAGTTTCATGCTTTCGCAATCAATGAGGATGGTCGGGCCATGCCGGTGTATATGCCAGGAGAGGGTGGGTATTGTAGCGCTGTGTGAAAAGCTGTGTGTGAATGTGGGGGCTGTATAGGTTTCAGGGCTAGCAGTGTTATTTTCGGCAGGAGACTGTATGCAGCGTGTGTGGTTATTGTAGGCAGGGGGCTGTAGAGGCAGTGACAGGGCTAGCAGTGCAATGTTAGCGCAGAATGTGTTGCTGGTGTGGGCAGGAGGTTGTGAGCAAGGTGTGTGGATCATGTTGTAGGCAGGAGGCTGTAGAGGTAATGACAGAGCTAGCAGTGTGATGTTAGCGCAGAGTACATATGTATGGCTGGTGTGGGCAGGGTGTTGTGAGCAAGGTGTGTGGTTGGTGTAGGCAGGAGGCTGTGGAGACATTTTAGGTGACACCGTGGTATTTGAGGAGATACTTGTTCTCCTGTAGGCACTTGGACACCATTTCCGAGCGCTTGTTGAGGCTGGATGGTGATTTTAGCGTGTTCAGAATGTGGTGCTTTTCTCTGGTACCTGCCCTGAAACCTACACAGCCCCCACGTTCACACACAGCTTTTCATACAGCGCTATAAACAAGCTTTGATTGCTGTTCTGTATTACGCTCTGCCTCCGCGGTGTTGAGCATTGTCAGCACACTGGCTGCATCCTCCGGGGTATGAAACAGATGCACCGAAAGTACTGAAAATAAAAGTACACCGAAAATTTGTGAAATTACAGTATACGGCGTAGTTCGAAGTAGACGAGGCACGGCGACGACGAGCAGACTGAAGCAGAACGTAGTAAGGGCAAAACACGTTGATCCCTGTCTAGTCATGCACAGCGATGTTGGAGAACATTTACAGCTTGTATAGTTTCGTTCTTTACGTGAACATATTTTTCCTGCAGCACGGCAGTTTTTGGAAAGAAATACCCTTCCCTGGGAAGTCCACAGCTTCCGTAAGTCCTGGCTCCACAGATCGTACCGAGGTCGTGAAGCTCCGCAGGCGTCCACACAACGCAATGAACTCCAGTGCTTTTCTCCCTTTGTACGCCAAAAGTGAATTTGCCTATTTACAACGGGCGGTGGCAGCTGTGTTGGCTTCGTTTCGAGATGGAAGCAGAACTGTGCCCGAAACTTGTCCACTGACCAAAGGTCAAAGGTGTGAGCTATCGTAAACTTGCAGCCGGTTCTGCAGCGCAGTGCGCCATCCCAGGATCATTCATGTACTATAATATAATCGTGGGGTCCCTTCCCAAGTTCCCAGGCAAGAAAAAAAGGTGGAGCGCTTGGGAGAGACTGGTGGGAGAGACTGGCTCTGGTGGGATTCTACGGTATATGTAGAAGACTAGAGACGAGCACACTTGTCAACCACTACTGCTGCCGGCTATATAGAGGTAAGTGCAGCACAAGCAGGAATGTACATAGGTTCAACTCACCTGAGCAGCGCACACCAAAACTGCATGGATGATGCCCTGGTGGACAAAGAGGGAGGTGAAAAAGCGCCACCATTGGTTCGAACTGACCGGTTCATAAGGTATGGCTGCGGAGGCCTGAAGACCACCAAACCCACAAAGACCCTCCAGGCAGTTAACCTGTGCAACCAAAACAAACAATAAAAGATCCAGTCGACTCCGACTCCGGATATAGCGAACACCGGTGTGCAGGAGATTAAGTTCGTTATAGCCGAAGTTCTTTACAACATAAGTGCACTCACACCATACAAGCAACACATTATGCTGTCTGGCATGTGACATGTGATTACACGAGAGCACTTTGGTTTAAAGGGGAAGTATACCCTAAAATGAATTTTTCACCAGTTGTAGTCTTCGGGGTGCTGAGTCGAATGGTCTGGGTCCGAGGAAGCTGAGACGCTCCCTTCCTCCTTTATTCCCAATCGAACTCGCGCACTTCCGCCGAAACTGGGTGACTGCGCCCTACTAGATAGGGATTTGTATGGAAAAAGTCACTAAAAACGCCGTTTAGTTCTTATAAAAGCACGGATGACCGCGATTGGTCCATCTGTTGTAGTCTTTTGGACGCTGAGTCGACTGGTTTTGGTCCGAAAAGGCTGCGATGCAGCGTTCGGCTCTTATTCCCAATCGAACACGGTGGAGTAAGCGGTCACATGCTCAGGTGTACACCAGTCGCCTGGTCACCGTGTATTCCGTTTCTCCCCGGAACCGGGATTATCCACACACAAAGATCTCCAGGACACAATGTTTACACTGACTCATGATCTGAAAACAGTCACAACTCTCCAAGAACTAAAGCCTGAACATCTCCACAACTAGGCTAAAACCAACTCTGGCCTAACAAAAGATAGCAATAGCTAATAACAGTGCACGCACATACATGGTATAGAAAGACCCTATGGCAACACTCGACCATGTAATGTGATACAACAATAGAATGCAGACGTCTAGACACCAGAGTACTGAATAGACCTGACACATGGCCTTCTTGCTGGGAATGCATGAATAGAAGCACACATGGATCATAGCTCTAACACATTCGCCTATCCATATCACGCATGAATGATTGTACTCTAACAGCCAGCATGCTGCACCAGTCTAACTGCAACATTCTCCCCCTCTCACACGAGGAGTTCCGAGGGTGAAACAAAACAAGAAACCAAAAAGGCAACCCCCTCAGAGCCAACAAAAAACAAAAGATGAACGATGTGCTCTACAAACATACGTGTAGCTAAATATGCAAAGACTAAACATATGAAAGTGACCAATCACACCACAGTACTAGAGTATTCTGACCGAGTCAATAATGAATATGTCTCTCATTCGCCGTCTGCAGTCAACGGCACTAATCGCTGAATGGCACGTCGCTTCACCTTCTTGTTGCTCAGCCGTACGTCCACAACTCTCACCAGGCCATCCTGACCCGGATGTACTCCCACCACTCTTCCAAGCGGCCAATGACCACGAGATATGCCATCTTCCATAACCAGCACCAGATCGTCTGCCTTCAGATTCGGCTTCTGTTGGAGCCACTTCTTCCGCATGTTGTAGGTCACGACAAGCTCTTTCTGCCAACGCCTCCACACATGGTCAACTTGCAATTGAAGAGCCATCCAGCGTCTACGAGGGTGAACATTCTTCTCTCGGCAGGCGGCCTCCTCCAGAGCTAAGGGAAGATCCAAGCGTCCAACAATGAAGTGATTAGGAGTCAGTGGAGTCATGTCACTGGGGTCGTCTGAAATGGCTGTTAATGGCCGGCTATTCAACAAGCTCTCAGCCTCCACAATTGCCGTCATCAGTTCCTCGTCCCGTAGATTGGCCCGAGACAAGACTAAGACAAGTGCTTTCTTGGCGCACTTGACCATACTCTCAAAGACGCCTCCATGGTGCGGCGCTCTCGGGGGATTGAACCGCCACTGAATACCCCGATGGACTCCATCGCGACAAATCTTCGCCCGGTCGAGTGCCTCCACCGCTTCACGCAGCTCCCGTTCAGCGGCGACAAAGTTGGTGCCGTTATCGGACAGCATCAACGATGGAACTCCTCTGCGCTTGGTGAACCGGGAAAACGACATCAAGAAGGACTCTGTGTCCAGCCCGAATGACATTTCGAGATGGCAGGCCCGAGTTTCAAGACACGTGAACACACAGAGGTAACGTTTCTGCTGCGCTCTCCCTCGTCCTTGACTGGTATAGAACGGTCCGGCGTAATCGACTCCGCACTGCGAGAATGGCTGCTTGGTTCCAAGTGTTCGGTAACTCGGCAGTGGTCCCATGAGTTGTTGCGCTGGTTTTGCCACTATTCTCTGGCACTTCAGACACGCTCTCTTCATAGCCTTCACGACTGACAGTCCGTGGACAATCCAGAATCGCTCTCTCAGGATAGAAAGTAGCTGATGCGACCCGGCGACATGTCCGCACTTCTCATCCTGGTGGCGAACAATAAGCTGCGTGACAGGATGTTTGCTAGGCAGAACCATAGGTCTCCGCATACTGGCCGGTAGGTGTTCCGCATACTTCAGTCGTCCACAAAGTACCAGGACCGGTGGTTTTGCTGATGTATCTACACCGGGGCTTAACTTGTAAAGTGGGTCAGATGGAGGTAGCTCTCTTCCGGCCATCAATATCCTGCAAGACTCTGGGTATGCCTCTTGTTGTCCCTGAGCGATCCAGAACCGCTCAGCATGCTCGATCTCAGCTGCGATCAACTCTGGCACCTTGACGATCTTATGTCTGCGGGCACTAGGGTTAGCCTTCGCTCCTGGGGCGTTAGCACAGACGACCTCCGTGGGAGCCGAACTAGCATCCTGAGAATGCCCCCTCATGACTCTTGCATCTGCTGTCAGCTTAGCGTTGCTCACAAAACGCCAGCACCATGATGTGACGCGAATCAGACGTGTCCAACGCGAGTACCTCTCAACATCAAGACGACCCTTGTCCGGCTCTACCGCTGTGAATGCCAGCTCGATCGTCTTCTTCACCTGGCCCGGAAGCTGCGGTTTGTTGGTCAACTCAGTCTGCGGCCAGGACTCCTTGGTGTTGCGGAGAAATGCAGGCCCTTGCCACCAGCACTCGTTACCGGGTAGATCCTCGGCCTTCACCCCCCGAGTTGGCAAGTCTGCTGGGTTGATCTTTCCAGGCACGTGCCTCCACTGCGTCGGCTTTGTCGACTCCTGTATTGCCGCTATTCGATTAGCGACGTCTGAAGTAAAGTTCTTAGCCGGACTCCTCACCCAGTGTACGACGTTCATCGAATCAGTCCAGAAGTTGTGTTCGGACATGGGGATGTGGAGGGCCTCACTGATGGCGGCACTTACTTGCACACCCAGCACTGCACCGCGGAGCTCCAGCTTCGGAATCGTGACTTTCTTCAGTGGTGTGGCTCTGGCTCTAGCAAGCGCAATGCTGATGCGCACATGTCCATCGGGGTACTCCGCTCGGACATAACCCACTGCCGCTGTTGCATGGGCCGAAGCGTCGGTGAACACATGTACCGACAGTGATGCCTCATGGGCTGGGCGATCCGTTTCCTTGAGACATCTCTGTATCTTGATCTTGCTGAGGTGCTCCAGCTCGGCAAACCACCTGTACCACTTCTCGTTCAGCTCGGCCGGAATCTGGTCGTCCCACCCGATCCCAGCTGCACAAAGCTCCTGAAACATCAGCCGCGCCCGCATGGTAAAGGGCACAATGTGGCCTCTAGGGTCGAAGATGCTCGCCATCTTCGACAGCACTTGACGCTTGGTCCACTGTTGTTCTTCAGGAGCACGGTGCGTATAGCTGAAGGTGTCTGTCTTGGCGTCCCACACCACACCGAGAGTCTTCACCACCGCTGGTATTTGCTGACTGTCGTTGCTGATGCATAGCAGTGCCTCTTTGGCCAAGTCCTCGTCCGGTATAGACTCTAGCACGGCTTGACTGTTGCTCCTCCATTTGCGGACGTGGAAAGACGCCTTTCCGAGCAGACTCTGGACTTCCTGTCGAGTGTTGATGGCGGACTCCACAGTCGGTAGTGAGTCGAGCAGGTCATCAACGTAAAACGCTTCATCAACTGCTTCCCGAGCCAACTTGCTGAAGGATGCGCCGTGCTCTGCTGACGTTGCCTTCAGAGCCCGACATGCCAGGTATGGCGATGCCTTCAGCCCAAATACCAACCGAGAGAACTCATACATGGCGGCTGGCTCATCCGGTGTGTCGCGCCACAGGAAGCGCAAATACTTGCGATCTTCTGGAGCGATTTCCACCTGCAGAAACATCTCTGCAATATCGCCGACTAGCGCTATAGGCTCTAGGCAAAACTTCATCAGCACGTGTACCAGATCTCTCTGCAACTTCGGTCCAGAGTGCATCTCGTCGTTGAGTGACTTGCCCTGGCATCGGGCAGCGGCATCGAATACCACTCGTACTTTCGTCGTAGTTTTATCTGCTCGTACCACCGCCAGATGAGGAAGCAACCACTGTTGGTCTGTCTCCTGGCACGGATGGATGTAGCCCTTGGCTATATGGGACTTGATGACGTCGGAATACTGCTGGTAGACTTCCGGTCGTTTCCTCAGAGTCCTCTCCAGGTTTCTCAGTCGCTGTTCAGCCATTTCACGATTCGGTGGGAGATCTGGCTTCTTATCGGTGCTGACCCACGGTATGGCCGTCGACACTCTGCCATCCATCAATTTCATGCTTCCTTCAACCATACGTTGTGCTTCCTCCTCCGCGACCGTTTTCGTAGCCTTAGGAACCAAACCAACGCTCTCTACCTCCCAGAACTTTGCGACGAGGTCGTCGAGAACTGCGTTGCTCCTGTCGCTGACATTCGCATGCAGGGACGTCTCTGTGAACTCTGCCGCTTGCGACTTGACGGGACCGAAACATACCCATCCGAGGGGAAGTTTTCGAGCAACTGGCTCGCCCGGCTGTCCTGCCAGCTCTTCCAGTACTCTGTGCGCTTCTGGCACGTTGAGTCCTATCAGCAGGTCGACTTGGTCCCCAGTCACCTGCGGGAAGGTAACCTCTTGGAGGTGCTTGTGCATGTGTCTCCTCGAGTTCCACTCGATCATCTCCATCGGTGCTGTAACTATTGGCTGCGTCCATGCTTCCAGCTGGGTTTCATATGAGCCGTCTTCCGACGCCATTGTCACTTTTACGCGACGGTGCTTTCCTGAGACTGTCTTTCCCCCCAGAACCGACGCCGTAAATGCCGTTGGTGTTCCCTGCAGCCCGAGGTCGTTTGCCACACTGTCTTTCAGGTATGTTGTTGAAGAACCGCTGTCCATCATGGCTGTGGCCCGCACCGTCTTGTCCTGATGGCATAACACGACAGGGACTACCATAAAAGCGGTCTTCTGCGTGGTTGCCACCGACGTATTCGTGCTGTGTTGCGGAACCACATTCTCTCGTGGCTTTGTGCTCCTGCTCGTTGAGCCTTGGTTGGCCGGAGGTGCGCGCTCTTGGTGGAGGTCAGGGTGGTGTCTGCCTCGGCACTTGTTGCAACCACTGCCTCTGCATTCGGACTTCCAGTGGCCTGTCTTGAAGCAGCACACACATAGCGATGTTCCAAGCACGAAGTCCCACCGCTGCTTCACTGACAGTTGGCGGAAGACATCACAGCTGGTGAGGGAGTGCGCTTTACCACACTTGGCGCACTGCAACACTGGCTTAGTTGTGCTGGCTGGACCACCTGTGGTGTGCATAGCTGTTGCATTACTTGCTCGAGGGGCCGCTTTGGCAAACGGCCCGGCCACATTCAGCGCAGCCTCTGCTCGATTTTCTAGCCAGTCTGCGAAGACCTCCAGGTCGAGGGAATCCATCTGGATCCTTTTCTCCGCCAAGTATTCGCCCCACTGCATCTTCAGTGCAACTGGCAGCTTATTCACTAGCTCCTGTCGGAGGGTAGGGTTGGACATATGTCCACAGCTACCAAGCAGCTTCATACATAACACTACATTCTTAACCGAGGTGCTGTACGACACCAAGGTCTCTACATCGTCACTGCGTACCGGCTTAGCTGATTTCGCCTTCGATACGAGCTCCGTGACTACTAGTTCTGGCCGCCCGAACCTCCTTTCCAGCGTTGAGAGAACTTTCGGCAGGTTCTCTGGCACGATGAGGAGCATTCTTACTGCCTCTTTTGCAGGACCTTTTAGGCAGACCCGCAATCTCTGAATGTTTTCAGCCTCCGTGAAGCCACATTGCTTGGTCGTAGACTGAAACATGTGGTGGAATGCTGGCCACTCTTCTGCTGCACCCGAGAACGCTGGCAAGTCGGTGTTGATTTTGGCTTGTCGCGCGGTGAGCCTTGATAGCTGGCTTTGCAGACCCTCATCTGCTTGCCCACGTCCATCCTGCTGAAGGCCTTTGACCGTGGAACCAGCTGCTTGGTGCGTCTTCACTATCTCCTCCGGCTCTTGATCGCTCTGAATCCGACTGCGTAGCTCCTGTTGCTGCGCACTAGAACACTGTGCGGTGTACTGGTCGTGGTCCGCACGCCTCCGCAGGCGATCATTTTCTCCGCGAAGCTGGTCCAGCTGAACTAGCAACTCCGCTCGCTGTGTTCGCTGCTCATCCGGCCCTCGGCCTCCGCCTCGATCCGCCCGCTGTTGCAGGCTGGCGTTCTCCGCGCGAAGGCGTTCGAGCTTGTCGAGCAGTTCAGCTCGCTGCGCGTGTTGCTCTGCTGAAACCTGCTCGGCTCGCGTCAGCAAGCGGTCATTCTGATCGCGGAGATCTTCCAAACACATGCGCCCCTCCTGGTGTTCTCTTTCCAGGCGCTCGAGATGCGGCTGCAGCTCGCGCAGTTCCCTTTCCAATACATCCCGCTCAGCTTCGCACACCTCTTTTTCCTGCGTGACTCGCCTATTTTCCGCCTGCAGCGATGACAGGTCTGCACGAGCGCTCGCAAGATCCTTGTTCAATTTCGCTACACGTCGCTGCTCGGCGTCCGCTATTGATTGAGCTTCGCTCAGTTCCCGCTGATAGCGCTTCTCTTTCAGCACAAACTCTTGTTGCACTCGCAACCCTGACAGATTGGCCTGCTCCGTATTCGTCGACGCACGTGCGACCTCAGACTCAGTCCTCACCGCCACAGGCAAACTCCTGCTTGTGTGGGCACTGACAGTTCCGGCTACACTGGGACTCGGCACTGCGTGCGGCTCTGGATCGTGAGAAACAGCCACTGCATGTTCTGGCAGGTGCGCAACTTCTACTTCACCCATACTAGCCTCATCTCCTTGGCCAGCGTCAACGGCTGCATCAGCTTCATGGCCTTCTATGAGCTCCTCTGCGAAGACTTCGGAGGCCATCTTGGGAGAGGACGATCCTTTGGCCCCTTGGCCACTTGACGACGCTTCGTCTTGAGCTAACCTCACGAGCTCAAGCTCCTTCTCCAGGAGCCTCTTTTCTGCTTCCAGAACTCGACGCTGAGTCTCGTATGAAGATCGGGACTGTCCTCCTCCTGATCTCCTACTACTGCGCATCGAGCGCTCTTCTTCAAAACCCAAACGGGGAGGTGCTACACCTCTCGTTGACCGCGCACTTCTGCGCGTACTCCTATCTTCACCTTCCATGATGACTATTTCCAGATCCGGCTCGAAGGACCAGATATTCCGTTTCTCCCCGGAACCGGGATTATCCACACACAAAGATCTCCAGGACACAATGTTTACACTGACTCATGATCTGAAAACAGTCACAACTCTCCAAGAACTAAAGCCTGAACATCTCCACAACTAGGCTAAAACCAACTCTGGCCTAACAAAAGATAGCAATAGCTAATAACAGTGCACGCACATACATGGTATAGAAAGACCCTATGGCAACACTCGACCATGTAATGTGATACAACAATAGAATGCAGACGTCTAGACACCAGAGTACTGAATAGACCTGACACATGGCCTTCTTGCTGGGAATGCATGAATAGAAGCACACATGGATCATAGCTCTAACACATTCGCCTATCCATATCACGCATGAATGATTGTACTCTAACAGCCAGCATGCTGCACCAGTCTAACTGCAACACCGTGCCTGCAGGCTATTATTTTCACTCCAAGGTTCAACTCAAAGGTTCAAACTAGGGAGTCGTAAGAGGCTTTTACGACTCCCTGGTTCAAAGGTTCAACTCGAGCGACAGGAACGGGCCCAAACAGACTGTAAACTGTAGCCTTAGGGCACGATGACCAGGTGACTGGTGTACGCATGAGCACGTGACCGCTTACTCAACCGTGTTCGATTGGGAATAAGGGCCGAACGCTGCATCGCAGCCTTTTCGGACCAAAACCAGTCGACTCAGCGGCCAAAAGACTACAACAGATGGGCCAATCGCGGTCATCCGTGCTTTTATAAGAACGAAACAACGTTTTTAGTGACTTTTCCATACAAATCCCTATCTAGTACGGCGCAGTCACCCAGTTTCGGTGGAAGTGCAGGAGTTTGATTGGGACCCAGACCATTCGACTCAGCACCCCGAAGACTACAACAGGTGAAAATTTCATTTTAGGGTATACACTGTACCTCCCCTTTAAATGCTGCCCTACACGTTGTAAAGTAAGTAAGTAAATTATCGTGTCCGTTCCCAAAGGGAACTCACGGCGGCCGCTAACATCCGGTAAACCCTAGCGGCAGATGCAGCGCCTAACGGTGGGGGTGAGTGGATAAGTCTGACAACCACTGGCACAAGTGCCGAGAACGACCCCATTAGCTGCATCCATGTACCCCTTGTGCCTGGCCACAAGTTCCCAGTTGACTGTGGGTAGCAGCACGGCTCGTAAAACCGCTGCACGTTGTAGCTTATTAGACACCCGTAGCAAACAACGGTAACGCTACTTTTTTTACGGTACTCGTACCTTGATCACCCAAATAGCGTTGAAGCTGCAGCGTAAAAACGTTATGGGGGCTGATTTATCGTTGTGACCAACGGTACATGTTTTGGCCAAATATTGCATAGTCCGTACGCATTTCACCTTGTATCGCGTATATGGTGACATAAATGGTTGTACCGCGCAAAATAAAAGCTATTCTCGTAGCAACAGTGTTCTAAAAATAGCGTGCATCTTGCTCAAGGTCGAACCCAAATCACGGTATTTTCCCCCTTACGGTAATACTGTTACAACATAACGTTTTTTGCTAAGGGTGTTTATTATAAAGAAATAGAAACCAAAGCACTGATTGCTACTAAGGGCTTTTTAAGGGCCAGTTTCGCATCTGCCATTGAGCCCAGGCAGAAGAGCCAACAACAAACATTTCAATATTGATAGCAGCAGGGAGTGAAAACAAGAAAGAAGGCATATTTGCCACTACTGTAGTATGTACAGTAAACTGCCCTAATCCGGACTTCCCAGATCTGGGCACTCCCGTCTACCGAGCACCTTTCTTACCTGTCAGGACTCACAAAACCGGGCTTTTCGATCAAAAATGGCCCGAACTACTAAAAAAGGGTTTACTTGCATCAAGAGTACATAACCCCCCAGAGTGTGCAACACCTGATCCAGCTCTGCATAGGGTCTTGGTCGAGCGTAATCGGATCTTTGCGTCATAACACCGTACACATCTGAGGGGAACCCGGGGAGTCGCGGGTACTCTCGGATCAAAAACAACGGTGCCCTGCCTCGAGACCGGCCTTGCGCTGGTGTGGAGTGTACGCATGACATCAGAAGATCCGATTATTTTCGACCAAGACCCTATGCAGAGCTGGATCAGGTGTTGCACACTCTGGGGGGTTATGTACTCTTGCTTGCATACACCGAGTATATTATGTTCAGAATTGCGGGCAATTCCTATTTACGGGAAGTGTCCCACCGTGTCCGGACAAGGGGAGTTCTACTGTACTCTGGCATAATACATGCTGCCTAAGTTAGTCACAACTCTAGAAGTTAACCAGACAGGCACATGTAGTACAGAATGTCATTGGGCACAGCACACCAGTCTACACTTAGATACGGTTTAAACAGGACTAGAACAATGCAGGATTCCACAAAACACATTGCCCTGTGAACGAAAGAGACAAACTCAAAGAATAGGCCTTTCAAAAACCCTGCACTTCTGTTCCCGATAATTCTAAGTTAGTGCTGCAGAAATTAGGTTGACAAGTAGGCCGCATTACACCTACTTTCAGGCAAGTCTGGTTCCGATGGTAATTGCCACCCAGCTTGGCACAGTCGGGACGTGTCAGCATTTGGCAATGGCCCAGAAGTCCATAGCAACATGCCGAATGATCGTTGCCAAACACCCGCTGATTGAGCAGCTGGTCGCAATGCTTTGGATAGAACGTGCTCGGAATGAAGAGCGTTGAACACTTGCGATCGGTGGTGTAAACACCTCTACCCACGTTGGATATGGTTTTGACACAGCACCCCTCAGGTCGCCGATCTATTGCATTCATTTTGCGATACCTGCGCGAAGAAAGTACAAGAATACAAGCAAGACTTATGGGCAGTGGCTCCTAGGTGTGGAATTTAGAAAAAATTCCACCGAGTTCTGGTAGGCCATCTGGGACTCAACTTTTGGATGATCTTATCCAAGTTCATCATCACACAACTGAGTAAAACATGTACGTGAAAGATGTTGCTTGGCACCAGGATCTAAGAAAAGGAGGTTTCCACAGGCGTGGCTTTGTCACATCTGAGATTTACCGCATTGAGAGCTGGATTCTAAGTATCACAAGACAAATACTTGAAGTAGGATAATGTGGTATGAGAGAGAGAGAGAGAGAGAGAGAGAGAGAGAGAGAGAGCGAGAGAGCGAGAGAGCGAGAGAGAGAGAGAGAGAGAGAGAGAGAGAGAGAGAGAGAGAGAGAGAGAGAGAGAGAGAGAGAGAGAGAGAGAGAGAGAGAGAGAGAGAGAGAGCCTGGTTCCAGTCCTGGTGATGACAGTCATTTTTTTCCTCAGACTTTTCCCGTTTGCATCTTTCCCTCAAACCAGTAAAAATGTATGAGCAGTAGGCAATAATCATGTGAAGATTCCAATGCAGCATACTAGAGCAATGGAGGTGGATACACCTGAAGAAATAGCAGTGAATGCACGCCTGCCCACACAATGCTCACAAAACTGCAAGTAGCACAAAGGTTACGAGTTGCATAGAAGCGGGGGGGGGGGGGGGGGGCACCTACCTTGCACTTATAGTGTGATCCTTGCGCATACAGGGCGAGTAGACGACACCATGTTGAATCAGTTTTAGCGCAGACGGACCTATCCAAAAGTTGACTTGCTCAAAGTAGCCCACAGTTTCAAAACCAGAACCACCAGTGAGGGTTGAAACATTCTGGTTTACAAACTAAAACAGGGGCAGCAGAACACGCAGAAGAAAGAACATTGCACATGTACACATGTAGAGAAAGAAGAACCATCAGCACTCTGCAAGAGGAAATCTCACACGGAGAAATAAGTAACGACATGCGGCCGTATTAAGACTACACTGCGCTGGTGCTTTGCCCTGTGCGTGTTTCGTGGAGACTGCGCTTATGTAGAGAGTGTGTTTGTATTGGTTCAGCCCTGTGAAGTACCCCCTGTGCAGTGTCCACCAGAGACTTTTATGAAACTGATGTTACTCTTATAGGGTATTCACACGACAGGCAAATCCACGTGCACCGGAAAGTTGCCATGGTATTTTACCCGTGAACGAGAAAAGTGGCGAAAAGTGGCTGAAAAGTGCAAGCGAGCTGGGGGCCCACTTTCACGATAATCGTGGCGTGCACGAGTACGTTTACACCAAAAAGCGCGAAACAAGACTTGATTTTTTACGCGGCTCTTTAGGGGCCATCCAAGGTTACCAATAGTATTTTCAAAACGAAATGTTTTCGTTTCGGGTGGGTGGGTTTTAGGAGTTTCGTTTTGAAAATAATTCTTGAATGTACATGGAGAATGCCTAATTACTTCTGGATGCCGACGATTGAAATCAATATTTTGTTGGACTGGGTTTTACCTGCTGAAAGAAAAAATACTAAAACTTTTCGTTTTGCAAAAACAATCGGTAACCCCGGACAGCCCCTTAGAACATGATAATTATTGTATGCGTGTTTCGAAAATTTGAAATACCCATGGCTACTGGTCGGTGAAGCATTCAAAAATGCAAACGTGCCTGTCGTCAAGTGCAGCTGTGTGAATTCACACAGTCACTTTTCTCATATGTCACTCCCTGTAAAACGTGCAAGTGCCTGTCGTATGAATAGGCCATTAGTCTTTGGTTAAGTGACTATTTACCTGTGATTTGTCTCACTTCATGTACAAAAAAACCTTCCTGCATTTGACCAACAGTGTGTAAACAAGAGTAGGCAACTGTGGTTATGGGTCAGCGGGCTGCCTTGTATACGTAACTTGCCTCCATCACGCTCTGAAAGCATGCACTCAAACCCACAGTTTCTCGTACAAACCCATCCGTTTTTGCTCAATTCCTTCCAGTACATGTACCTACGCGATCTCTAATTTTTGGCACGTGAACTCCAGTTCCGTACGAAAGTTCATTTCAAACCAGAGGAAAAGTGCGGTGTTTGATTTTCCGCAGTGCGTGGACTACAGCTGAATGATGTAATGACGGCAGCACGCCGCGCATCTGGCCCATAGAAAAGAGATCACAGTTGCATACTCTCGTTTACTTGATTTGAGTTATTGAGTTCCCAAGCAATAAGTACCGTGTTACCTGACCAAGAACACACAACGGTGATTGCCGTATGATTCGATAGCTCACAGGCGTGTGTTACTACTACCACATACCAGTAATGAAGACATCTGCTGCTACATACGGGAAGAGGCTCCACTCTTTCAATAGGGCTTGAAAGTGCTAACGCTATGTCATGGACTCGCCAGACAACGTCGATTTCAGGATCCGTTTGGGCTGAGTGTTTGTACGGATCCATGCAAGCTTGGGGTGGTTTGTTTTCACATCAGCATGAGACATCCACCGACACTGACTGGACTGGACTGGGTCATCCTGATCAGCGACCCACTGCTAGTGTAGGAAAAGCCACCACAGCAGTAGGTGACATGAGGGGCCTGCCCACTTGATACCATGCTTGGCTATGATCAGAGTGGATCCAATTTGACCCAGACACTATGGTGACTTCTAATGCCATTACAGTAAAATCTGTCAAGGCGACCACTCTGATAAGGCGACCACCTGTCCTACAAAGCTCCCCGCCCTTCCACTCCCCATTTTGTTTCCTTTGGTGCACATGTGCAGCTGTGATGCCGAGACCCTTGGTCGGCTAAGCTTCACAGGTCCCACCCACTCCGTCCTGCTGGATATGTACCATTGTGTCGAGTTCTCCTCCTCATTTTAGTTCATCATGCAGTGAGTGTTCAATAGTTAAAAAAAGAGGAAAAAAAGAGAGAGGACCACTACAACCAGGACCAAGGGGTGCTATTTCCAGTCGAATGACCCTGGATACGGAGGCCACCTGTACACGGAGGCCACATTTCGAAGGTCCCTTGAGCGGTCGGCTTAGATAGGTTGCACTGTACTTTCAAGTGTTAAGCCCCGCACCAGCAACGCACATACATGTACATGTGTACACAGATAGAGGGGTGCATGCGTTTGTTGCAGGACATGGCATGCTCAGAGCTGTACACAGTGACCCTACCTTTGGGATAAATGCAATCTTCTCAAAGTTGCCACGATAGACAAGGATGATAAGAACAATGAGCTGGGAGTAAGTGAGAACATAGATCATCCACGGTGAAAAGACGGGCATGGTTTCCACCTTCTTGCGCATGAACTTCTGCTTGACGCGGTCCTTGACACTCTTGGTTCTTGCATTCTTGAACGCTGTTCGGAAGCAGAGGACAGAAACACTTGTTTCCGGACCACAATTTCAAATGCAAACAGTGAAAAGCTGCACACTGTTCGGTTCATGAACTCTTGTTTGTACTTTTAAGGCCACACCGTTTTTTTCTATGTTTCGCGTCATCTAATTCGATGAAATCAATGAGGGAGGGCGAAAAAAATAAAAAAGCCATCCAAAAAAAACAGTGTACGTGCCTTGCATTTGCGTACAGTGAAGCGACGTGGCACTGTTCATGTACATTGACATGTACATGAATACATGAGTGTATCCCCTCTGCCATGCTTGTGGTCCAAACACAGGCGGCATGATGATTGTGTGACTTGCGGCCCAGCTTATTACACACACATGTACATGTGTGTGAGCTGGGTACAATCATGCGAACAAATATTTAATTGATGCCAACATAATAGTTACGTGTAACAATCATGTTCCGTCTTTTTCCTTTTGGGTTACATTTTCCGGTTTTTCTGGGTTTGCATTAAATTTGTATTGCATTTAAAAAAAAATTGTTCCGTTTTTTTATTTTTTTTAAGTAGAAAGGAAAAGGACATATGGAAACGAGTTAAGAGTAACTCTCCACCACTGTAACTAGATACTATATACAGTCAGAAAGTGCAACAACTAGGCACAAAACTGACAGAGTACTGAGACATTCGACGTCCTGACACCTAGCTTCAACACATCTTCGTAGCGCTAACCGACAGCCTTCCAACTTGGAAGGTTCAAGGTTATGGAAAGACCAAAGAGGGGAAGGCAAGCGCAACGAAAACTGGGGGAGGGAGAAAGACCCAAGTGCCATCAGTATGTGTGGCACGTGTTGTGAGCTGCCTTTGGAGTGAAAAACTTGTCAGCGCCTTCTAGGTTCAGCCCGGTCCCATAGCTCAGTGGTTAGAGCATTGCTCATGACAAGCAAAGTCCCGGGTTCGAGTCCTGGTGGGTCTGGCGGTTTTTTCTCTTTTCAGGCAGCTCACTTCCCCAACTGATCCTTTGAATTTGAAGTTCTCCCAATCCTTTCAAAAAATAATAATAATTATAACGAGAGAGCTTGGAAGCTCAGGGCCCTACGCTATGCTTTTTGCCTTGATGACCTAGACAAAAAAAATCATAGGGATGTTAAAAATTCTTTAAAAAATTCCTTTTTTTAAAGACATAACCTGGGATTCGAAACCGCACTATCGCGCCCTGCATGCATCCCCCGATACACTTCGCATACATACTAATTCTTCCAAGTTGCTTCACATTATGATCTTGCATTTGAAAGCCCTATTTGAATATGCATTGTGGCCAGCCGTCTTTGATGGTACGGTACGGTAGGGATAGGTACGGGACAGGTACGATCGAGGGTAATACGGCACCGTCTCCCGTACCGTACCATCAAACACAGCTGGCCACATACAGCTGCCCGCAATATTCAAATAGGGCTTTCAAACGCAAGATCACAACGTGAAGCAACTTGGAAGAATGGGTATGAATGCGAAGTGTATGGGGGAATGCATGTAGGGCGATAGTGCGGGTTCGAATCCCAGGATATGCCCGAAAAAAATAGGAGAATTGAAAAATTTATAACATCCCTATGATTTTTTTGCCGTCAGATACGGGATAGCGCCAGGCGCGACACAAACAAATAAACAAACACACAAACAAATACCAAACGAGAGAGCTTGGAAGCTCAGGGCCCTACGCTATGCTTTTTTGCCTTGATGACCTAGACAAAAAAAGCATAGGGATGTTATAAATTCTTTAAAAAAAATCCTTTTTTTAAGACATAACCTGGGATTCGAACCCGCATTATCGCGCGCCCTGCATGCATCCCCCGATACACTTCGCATACATACTAATTCTTCCAAGTAATTAGTTGTTTCACATTGTGATCTTGCATTTGAAAGCCCTATTTGAATATGCATTGTGGCCAGCCGTCTTTGATGGCACAGTACGGTAGGGGATAGGTACGGGACAGGTACGATCGAGGGTAATACGACACCGTCTCCCGTACCGTACCGTACCATCAAACACAGCTGGCCACATACAGCTGCCCGCAATATTCAAATAGGGCTTTCAAACGCAAGATAATAACGTGAAGCAACTTGGAAGAATGGGTATGAATGCGAAGTGCATGGGGGAATGCATGTAGGGCGATAGTGCGGGTTCGAATCCCAGGATATGCCTGAAAAAAATAGGAGAATTGAAAAATTTATAACATCCTATGCTTTTTTGCCGTTAGATACGGATAGCGCCAGGCGTGACACAAACAAACAAACAAACACACAAACAAATACCAAACGAGAGAGCTTGGAAGCTCAGGGCCCTACGCTATGCTTTTTTGCCTTGATGACCTAGACAAAAAAAAGCATAGGGATGGTATAAATTCTTTAAAAAAATCCTTTTTTTAAAGATATAACCTGGGATTCGAACCCGCACTATTGCGCGCCCTGCATGCATCCCCCGATACACTTCGCATACATACATACTAATTCTTCCATGTTGCTTCACGTTATGATCTTGCGTTTGAAAGCCCTATTTGGACTGCGCTCAGTTTCTTTTCTGGCGGCAGGTCGGTGGTACACTCTTCCTCCAAACTGTCGTCAGGCACAATCTGCTGGTACTTTTGCTCACCTCACAAAGATTCACCTAGGGTTCCCTGTTTCAAGGCCATGCCTGTTGGGACTCCCCTAGTCAAATAATAAATACTACTACTACTACTACTACTATTTGAATATGCATTGTGGCCAGCCGTCTTTGATGGTACGGTACGGGATAGGTACGGGACAGGTACGATCGAGAGTAATACGACACCGTCTACCGCCTTGATGACGGCAAAAAAAGCATAGGGATGTTATAAATTTTTCAATTCTCCTATTTTATTTTCAGGCATATCCTGGGATTCGAACCCGCACTATCGCCCTACATGCATTCCCCCATACACTTCGCATTCATACTCATTCTTCCAAGTTGCTTCACGTTATGATCTTGCGTTTGAAAGCCCTATTTGAATATTGCGGCCAGCTGTATGTGGCCAGCTGTGTTTGATGATACGGTACGGTACGGGACAGATACGGGGTAGCGCCAGGCGTGACACAAACAAACAAACACACAAAATACCAAACGAGAGAGCTTGGAAGCTCAGGGCTCTACGATTTGCTTTTTTGCCTAGCTCATCGTACATGTTATAAGAACTGATGGAAATGTCTTTTTCCGTTGATTGGCCCCATCACTGTATTGCAAAAACGTTTCAATCGGTTTGAATATTATGAGTTAGGCAAAAGTATTTGCAGAATTTATTGCGGATTGTTATTTCTCTAATAATCATCTACTTTTGGTTTGCTCCTTCTTTTCTTTTATCTCCTTATACTGTAAATCAACAGATTTTGGCCGATGAGAAATAAAAACCTCTCTATTAGAGAGGTTAAGATGCACATTATTTCCGACGTGACGCGCAATTTCACCTCAAATTTGAAATCGATCGGTATTTTTGCTCTCACATGCATCCATTGCTCAATCATGCATCATTTGCCTATATGACAAACTTTGGCCTGCGATTTACTTTGGCCGGTAGGTACCAAGCGGCAAAATCAGCGAAATTAAATCGCCAGCGAAAATTAGTTGATTTTAATACAGTAATCGGATTTTCTGGCCTTTTTGTAGTAATACATGTACATGTACATTGACCTGTTGAGCCAATGACGACGCCGAATGCATGGTTGCTTGTGGATCACATTACATAACTTTAGTCTCCTAAAATACGTATCCTGTCCGACGGCAAAAGAGGCTTCAGATTTAGTTTTTCTGCGCGTCGACGGGATGTCTGTCCTGACGTTTCCTGGGACCGGCGCTGACTCTGCCGATCACGGGCGTTCTGGACTCGACGGGTTGTCTGTCCTGACGATTCCGGGGACCGGCTTAGACTCTGCCGATCACGGGCGTTCTGGACTCGACGGGATGTCTGTCCTGACGTTTTGTTTGTTTATTTACGGCTTCTCCAGAGGTAAATGGATACCTATCATGGGAGTCTCACCAAACCAAT